AAATGGATAAAAATAATGTGGCGTTTTAGTTCCAATTTTGTTTTTTCATAATTTCACTTAAGCTCTTGAACTACCAGGAGAGGTGACAACGTCTGTCTCTGCCCTCTATCTGCTGGGTCAGTGGTCTGTAGGTAACGAGTACCACCTTTCATCCAAAGTAACAATGATCAATCATTATGAGTTTGAAGGTTGCTGATCAGCCCAGTATGAGCCTGAAAAGTTCTTGAGTAGTGCAAACAACAGATGGAAGCCGCAGTAAGTGTGGGATTAGCGATATGATTCTTTCTAGTCTACCTCTGTTTTTCTGCCTGTGCAACCTCTGCTACCTGGCAGGCTGATGCACCATGCTGAGGGAGGTACGCCATCCAGAACGGTCCTGGGTAGCAGCCAGCCACGTCTCTGTGTTGATACCAAAAGAATTGAGAGCAGTCGTGAGCATCCTCATAGCGCTTTTTCTGTCCTACCTCTTCCCTTGCAGGAGCTCGCCATAATATACTCTATCCATAAAATACAAATGCTGTTGCAACGCACCTGAATTTGGCATAATTCTTCTTCGCATTCACCGTTTGTAAACTATAGTTGTAAGTTCTGGTAGTTCGTCTACTTCTGCACTTTAGTCCTGTTTCAGAACTTGAGTTATGCTTGTATCTTTGTTGTACAGATCTAGCTTTTAAGTATGCAGACTGTTAGTTCCTAGCCTCTCAGGCAGATGCACCCCGACTTCAAATGAAACACTCCTGATTAGTCGACTTAAACGAGATACTTGTTAGGGAGGCAAGTTTTCTTTGTTCCTTTAGATAGGGCCCCAGAACAAGCTTATTAGGCAGAGGTGTCTTTGGTGGCTGGCGACTATCTCCAGTTGAGGATTGACATTCCCAACTGTATGTCCAGCAGACATTGTCACTCAGCTGTTTTCCCGTATCAAGTCTTCAGCGGCTGCAATCGACTCTAGAGTTACTACTAGTTGTGTCTGATCCAATTGTAAACAGAAGTCATGCCGTTTAGAAACCTACTTCACTCAAACACTTTCTGAACTGAGAGGCTGTGTCAGTGCAGTCAATAGGAGACTTTCTTTCAAATCCAGCTGCAACGGGATATTTCAGCCGCACAAGACTGCAAGCTATACCCGGCTGGTTTAACCATTACAAGTGCCTCAATTATAACTTGTTTAAAGAGGCAGAGGAAGACCACAAAGATGATGGATAGTTTGACATCATGGCAAGGAAGATCATCTGTGTCAGAACTGACTGAAAGTACACGAGACAGAAGGTTGTGGATAGACATGGCTACCACTGCCACATGACATGGGTTTTAAAAAGAATTATAAATTCTTTTGAGGTTGAACAGGGTATCTCCCAGTTTTTCTGCCGGCTTACCATCCAAGAAAAGATGACTTTTAATGCCCAGCGATAACCTAACCTTTAGGAGAACAGAACACAAAAAGCAACTAATAAAATAAGAATACTCAAAAAGACAAAGCTTAAAATTACCAACAAAACAAAACAAAAATTGTTTTCAATTGAATTATAATTACCTAAAACATTACTGATAGATAACAAGAGATGTACAGAACCAGCCCACACAAATCACACATCCTACAAGCACATACACACATCTCCACAATTTCCCAAAACTTTCTCTGCAAATATTTCAAACAACTTACCAAAAAAAAAACACAAATCAGACAGCCAATCAAACACCAACTGAAAAAACAACCCACTTGGTTAACCGTGCCAGGAGCTAATACAAAACTGATTCAGGGAAATTCTAATTCAGAACCTAGCTGGCAACTTTCTGGGGGAAGACACATGTCTAACCAAGGCTTTTTCCCCCTTGGCAGTACCCAACGACACACAGCATCACCACATTTTTAAGGCATAATTTTTACCCAGCGCTACTTGTCACTGGTACCGGCACCTTTTTTTTCTACAAGAAAGTCCTGTATTTACCTAAATCATTCATTGCAGTAAATGGCTTAAAATGATAAACTGGCACACAATAGACATACAGAGAAAATAGACTAGACACAAATGTTGCAATGTCTACCATAACAGGCGACAGTTTTTGCCCAGTAGCAACTTAAAAACATCCGGTGTAGCAAACATCTAAACAGCCGACAAATGGCAATAAGAGACACAACTCAACTACCTGATGCTCTACAAGAGCGGAGGAAAACATCTGGCCCTAAAACATCCATGAGCCCTATGTGGCCTGCACATTCTTTTGGTCTGGCCCTGCTAATGTGACTGCAAATTTTAAAATGATAATTTTAATGGCCCACAATTTTGTATAATTGCCCTTGCAGAAAAACAACACATATTTTTCACAAATCCTGTGCCGTCTCCATAAAGAAGGGTGGGTACAATGGATCTCTAACAAACTTTACTTTATCTTCGAGTGTCTACTAGGGTGGTACTGAGAAAGGAGGAGGAGATGTTATTGTTTGGAAGGAGAGCCCTCTTCCGATAACAATTTAAGCATCTGAAATTCTTGTGTGTTTTTTTCCCCATTTTTTTTCCCTGACTCTTGTTGCTGCTTGGTCCTGATTAAAGCTCATCAGGTTTGAATCTTATTTAAAATTTGTCCAAAAAACCTTGATTTGGCTTTCTCACTTTCGACTTATGCAAGGTAAAAAGGTTGAAAGTTAATGTCAAGAGGATCTATTTCATTCCACGGGGTTTCATCCCATTTGGCTCGGCCCTCTCTGCAATACAGACAGCTGCATGCTGAGAGTGCAGCACAGAGCATGAACTCCCTAGCTCCGGTGACGAACCCCAGGGATCTCTGTAAAATCTGCACTCGTGAACTGAAATGGCGCCGCAATGAAATGAACCCACGACCTTCAGACTGCGAGGCAAGCGGCTTGACCACTTCGCCCGAGACCCCTTGACTTATACAAGTTCAAGCCAGCAAGTCGTATACCAAGCAAATTTCTCGTGTCCAAGCAGGACTATACCAAGATGGACTTATAAAACAGTTGGAGTATTCCGAGGTACCATTGTATTACCACGAAGAAAAATAATTATACGTCTTCTCCACAACGAAAGTTGGCTACCGCTGTTATCTTTGGGACTATTACAAGGTGATGTCTGAATCTCTTCCACCTTATGACTCTTGTACCACCATCCAAAAACCACAAGAGCTGTATTCCATAAATAAACCAGCCGCAATGGAAATCGAATCCTAGTACTATAGAATCATGACGGTGTTTCCAGGAAATGTGACTTATTACGCTGCAGACCCACAACTCAAGAGCTTCAATTAGATATAATTTTTTTTAAAATTAATAATAAATATACATTATGTTCACATCTCAATTAACATACTAACAGTATAACAGTGGGCTGCTGAAACTAGACATTTCTGCTACAACCACACAAAATTCATTAATTCACACGTCCCCGCTTCAAAGGTTACAGTTTTCACATCAAGATGGCTTCTGCGTGCTTTCTGACGAAACCTGGAAGATAAAAAGAGACAAATGAGTCACGTGACACTGTCAGTCACAATTAATAAACAAGTTCAGAAGAATTTGTGTGTCATAGAGCGAAGAGTTCAACCCTTTCACATCATCATCATCAAACAGAATGTCCTTTACAGAACATCACTCTCCTCATGTCAAACCTGAAAGTATCTTTCTCGAGTCGGTTCTCCAACCCCATGTGCTTTCCTAGCCAATGCATCTTCAATGTCTTGTGTTCACCGTCGGAGAGATCAGTCAGCCTTGACCTCAACTTCAATGTCTTGTGTTCACCGTCGGAGAGGTCAGTCAGCCTTGACCTCAACTCCAATGTCTTGTGTCCACCGTCAGAGAGGTCAGTCAGTCTTGACCTCAACTTCAATGTCTTGTGTTCACCGTCGGAGAGGTCAGTCAGCCTTGACCTCAACTTCAATGTCTTGTGTCCATCGTCGGAGAGGTCAGTCAGCCTTGACCTCATCTTCAATGTCTTGTGTCCACCGTCAGAGAGGTCAGTCAGCCTTGACCTTAACTTCAATGTCTTGTGTTCACCGTCGGAGAGGTCAGTCAGCCTTGACCTCAACTTCAATGTCTAGTGTCCACCGTCGAAGAGGTCAGTCAGCCTTGACCTCATCTTCCTGAAACTGTCCTGTCTATCACTGTTCTCTGCAGATCATCATAGTCTTCAACATGGCCAAAATACTGCAGCTTTCAGGACAGGATGCTGTTTATGAGTCAGTTCTCTTCAATGCTCAGATTATGCAATCATGCAGGATGTCAGTGTTGTTTCTTCTTCTTGGTCCATGGTATTCCAAGAATTGTTCTATAGCATTTCAGTTCCAAGCTCCAACTTTTTCCTCATCGACTAAGTAAGCTTTTTACATCAGCCGATAGTAAACAGGAGACACTTTTATGCACACAGGCTGATAGCTAAGAGTGGAGCTGAGTTTGAAGAAGCAGCCCCCTAAACATGCTCATATGTGCTCTTTCCTCATCTTCAGCAGCCAACAAAGAGTTCCAACTCTGATGGTACCAGTAGTAGTCCGTATGTCCATCTTTCCTTTCCTCTGAGTGAGGAGTGTCAGCTGATATTGCAGCGTGCTTTGTTCCAAATGGTGCTACCATTCATTTGGAGTAAATAAGGCAGGCACAGAGAGAGAGAGAGAGAGAGAGAGAGAGAGAGAGAGAGAGAGAGTGTGAAAGAGAGATCAATCAAGATGCATAGGCAACACATGATCTCTGCAGTACTGTCCAGGATTTGTGCTATCGAAAGAAGAACTTCATCTCTGGCTTTAACTGACTTAACATCGCTTTAGGCTGTGAGTGCCATGCCTCCCCTTAACATAACATTACAGTCTGCAAAGATGGAAAGGTGTCGACAAATGACAATCAAAACAAACACGAAATGCCTCAACAAATCTAACCAAATAAACAAAAGAAGGCCAAAAAAACACTTAAAAACAAGGGCCAGAAAAACGCAACATTCCAGGCCAACTGTAAATTGTCACCCACAAGACAAACCACCCGAGGACCTCCTAGCTGATTACTCCCCCTCACCGGCCCTCTTTTCAAAGTTATCGCTGACGCTAAGGAATGGCTTAATCTTGACATTCTTCACCGATCTGGCACTCTTTGGCTCTTTCTCCTTGATTTTGCACAGACAAGAGACGCTGCTGTTCTTACACACCAAACATGATTCTTCTTTCTCTAGTGGTGCGCCAGTTTGAGCACTGATGTTGGCCAGTAGCTCTCCAGTGGGCTGAATTCGTTCAAGCGACTCTGTCATTAACTCATTTCTCATGTTTCGGGGTCTCTGAAAGTTGGCAGTATGAAACATCTAAATAATGTTGAAAGAAACACATATAGCTTGGCCAAGTAGGACCTCAACCTTCTAACCCCAAAATGTTAGTTTGGCAGCTTTTTTTTGGGTTTCTTTTTAAAGTAAAGTAAAGGTCCCTTTTCCACGCCTTTAGGCGTTTAGGAAATATAGGGTTAGACCTATATTTGTATAAACCAATCGGCACAAGATGGGTGGTGTTGTCAGCATCAGGCTGGCCGCCTTTACTTCCTGGCTGGGTCAACCTGGGAGTCAAGGCCATTTTTAAAAAAGTCCGGCTTTGCCAGGGAGCAAACCCATTACCTTTTGATCCGCACGCGAGCATCTAGCCGCTAGGCCACAGCGACTCCCTTTTAATTAAAAGGCATGACATTTTTTGGGCAGTGGTTACCACATCTGTATTAAAGCATTGGTGCTGGTTGCACCTGTACAGTGTGTAGACATTCATCATCCTTTGTGTGCCGTTTGACGTCACATAGGGCATGCATTTGATTCCTCCACTCCGCTCTATTGCATGCAACTTTCTTTATTTTGTGACACAGAGATCAACCCATTTGTCTTTTGTAATAATGCTCTTCCTAATGTTTTCCTTGGATGCCCTTTTTTTCCTATCAGATTGTTTGTTTCCCATTTCTGTGCCTGTTTTGTCATGCTTGGCACACTGCATCTCAGAGTGCGCCCGATATATCTCCATCTTCTTTGTCTTATTGCAGTCTATACAGGCATTTGTCCAGACATTTCTCTGATCATCTCGCTCTTTTTTTAATTCATCTGATTTTTTGTTCATGATTTTTGTCAGACATTTATTTTCAAATACATTTAATTTTCGTTTCAGATCTTTGCTGGTTCTCCAGCTGTTGCTGGCATATGCTACAACTGAAATAATGTTAGAACTAAAGATTCGTAGTTTGGACTTAAAGTTGTATAACTGGGAGCTCCATATTTTGTTGCAGGTTTTGAAAGACTGTTGTTGCTTTGCCAATGCGTATCATAATTTCATTTAATGTATTATCTCCTTAGGAGTCAAAACTGCTACCTAAATAGGTGAAATGGTCCATTACTTTCATTGGTCTGTTCGCTAGCATGACATCTACATGATGTATTTGTCACATTGTTTAACAGTTCTCCCCCCCCCCAACCTGCTGCACAGAACTGCGTGCACTGTTTTCTTCACCATTTGCGAAATGTCTCCCGCCAAGGTGGGTTTTTGCTGAACCATGTGAGCACCCTATTGCAGCTGCTACAGAGTCACCCATTACTCGCCTGTCACTTCTAATCATCTCCTCCACCTGCTGCACGGATGTGTCTGTTGCAATCTCAATAGGACCACCAGATCAGACTTCTTCAACAATCATAGAGCGCCCGTGAGAATCGTTTTACCCAGCAATTCAAGCTTTTACGGGATTAATATTCGTCAGCATAAACAGGAAGCCCTTCCCTATGAATGTCCTTTGCAGGCAGCAATTTTGCCTGAGAAAAAACCCTGCACAACCGCATGTTACCATTCCCAACTACAAACAAATCATCCCATTGCTACTCACACAATACTCTATTCCCAAACACAACCATACACCAATTATGAAAATTCTCCTACCTCTCCATTTAGCTTCCTCTGCAGGTGAGACAGGTGAGGATGCGGAAAGCCACTCCTAAACTCATTATTGCAGTCGGACAGTGCCATCCCAGTTCCGATACCCCCACCGAGTATCACCGGCCATGGTTTGCCTGCGAAACAAATCAACAAGTCATCTAAAGCCAATCAAAGATCAAGATAGGAGAAACATATATTTTCACGTAATCTGAAGCCGGTTAAAAATCAAAATAAGAGAAACACATCAACAAGTAATCTGAAACCAGCAAACAATCAAGATAATCTTACAGCATGTGATCCCCAGGATGGGAAACGACAGGTGGTCTTCTTGTAGTCCATACCATGTGACATTAGTAGTCTTGTCTATCTCCAACCTTCTGTTTTGTGGACTTTCAATCAATTCTGACACATATGATCTTTCATACCATGTGACGTTGGTAGTCATGTCTATCAACAACCTTCTGTCAACTGGACTTTTAATCAGTTCTGACACATATGATCTTTCATACCATGTGACATTGGTAGTCATGTCTATCCACAACCTTCTGTCATCTGGACTTTTAATCCGCTCTGAAAAGCATCTTCTTTCTCTGTCTCCTCCTGTTTCTTTTACCCTCCCAACTTTCCTGATATCACTGTACTCCAGTTTTCTCCTTCTCATGAAATAATCAAAGAATGTTTCCTTCTGTTGTGGGCAATCAGTTCTCTTCGTGTTGCTGCATTTTGGAAAACATAATTTCTTTGTATTTACCATTATGTATGTTCATTCAGATAATGGCAAACACAAGAACTGGTGGTGTCTTATACGCTACTGCATGTGCAATTACCCACTGGTTGTGACTGCTGTTATCTGCCATTCTCTCTATGTGCTCCAACCATTGCTATACTGGAAGAAATGCGGTGATTGCATTAAAAATGTGTTTAACTTACGTTTTATGAGGAGTACAGAAAACACAATTCCAACACTGACTCCACCAACTGAAAATAGACAGAAAGATACAAACATCAATTTGCATCAGTCTTGATGGATCTAACAAAGAAGCATCAACTTGCATCAACGCTGACAGATTTATCAAACAATCATCAACTCGCATCAATTTTTACTGATCTATCAAACTATCATCAATCTTGACTGATCTATCAAACTATCAACTCACATCAATCTTGACTGATCTATCAAACAATCACTAACTTGCATTAATCTTGACCAATCTATCAGATAATTATCAATTCATATCAAACCTGACTAATCTATCAAATAATAATTAACTTGCATCAGTCTTGATTTTCTTCCTCAAAAAAGTCTTCCTCTTCTTTAACATTTACCATGAAAAGAGCAGTTTGCATGTTGTGTTGTGGTTAACAGCTAAGCTGCGATATCTACACTTTTTGGCCAAATATATTGGATTTCACCCAAACCCTATTTAATCATGTTTTACAACATGCTTGTTAGGTGCTAGCTTGGGGAGGGGAAGGGGTGTGGGTTGAGTCTATTCATCACCGCCACCCCCCTCCATCCCGAATGGGTTCCGTAAACCATACAATATTTACAGAGACCTAGGAGAAACAACACTGGTATATCTAGTGTATCTCTTTCAGTCCCTAGCGATGACTGTTGCTGAGTGTATCACTCTACCAGTTGATTTCACTCCATAGCAAGACATGCCCCTTTCCCTTTTTACATTTTGTCAGAACTTCCTAAAGATATCTGAGAGGGTTCCAAAATTCCATTGGGACACATACCCACTCAGCCACTGCCTTCCAAAAGAAAAGCTGACTGAGTTTGCTGAAATCAGGTCAGGTGTTGGGTTGAAAGGTTGAAAGAACGCAGCCTAGCTGTAATCCACAACCCAAGCATCATCTATCCCTTTAAGGATGAACAAAAAAGAGGAAGTACACAGAACATTCACACCAACAGTCTTCTTTTACTGTGGCCTGAAAAACCTAAATCGCACATGAACGGAGACAGATAGAATCGAGCATGAGATGTGGAGAAGCCAGTTGGCAATGTTCCGGACGACTTACGGATAATGCAACTAGTACAGACACCAACCGATTTTATTTTTTCTTATTTCTATACAAGATTTTTTAAAATCATAAGTTCAGAAACATAAAAAATATCTGTATGATATATGATTACAGTCGAGTCTACTTAAGTCGAACTCGGATAAGTCGAATTTCGGTTCAGTCAACATGACCAGCGTAGTCCTGGCAACTTTCCTTCTTTATCTTAGTATTTAATATCCTGATAAGTTGAATTCGGTTAACTCAAATTTTGGGATAAGTCTAATCTAAAAATAAATTCCAAATATATACAAATCCCTTCAGTCGAACTGTTCATTTAAACTATTAAAGAAAAATTCATTTCATTAAAAAAAAAAATTGTTTAGTAAGCCCGGGAAATAACGTGAAATCTCCCAGCTTCAATATCTCGCTACACATAGTAATAACAATGGCGGCTGGCGGTCGAAAGCTGACCACTTTAACTTTAGAAAGAAAGATTGAACTGTTGAAAGAGATTGAACATAGTGGGAAGAATAAAGTGGACATAGCTAGGGAAATTAGTATTTCAAGTTAGATGCTTTCTGGCATTTTAAAGCATAAGCAATGCTAAAAAAAACGTTTTTCGAGTGTAAAATCAACAGTGACAGACAGCAAGCTAGAACAGTGACATGCGATTTTGTTGATGCTGCCTTTTTAAAACGGTTCACTGAGCTTAGATCGACAAATATAGCCATGAATGGGGAATTAATAATGGCAAAAGCAGAGGAATTTACACGTCTTGGAGGTCAGACAGACTGGAAATGTAGCATTTGCTGGTTCAATCGTTTCAACAAACGCCATTGCATAATATACAAGAGTGTGCGGAGAAAAACAAGTGTGCGGAGAAAAACAATCTGTTGATGAAGCAACGACTAACTCATGGGCAGAAGATGTGCTCAAACCTGCTTGTGTGTTAATTACAGAGCCAGTTCAAAGGCATGAATGACACCAGAATTATTCGTCAAGTGGCTACAAGAATTTGATTCTTCAATGATGCATTAAAAAAAGAACTGTTCTTTAAATCGTTGACAGTTGTTCAGCCCCTAGAAGAACTAACAGTTTAAAAGCCACAGAACTTCTGTTTCTGCCGCCCAATGCCACATCAACACTTCAGCCTTGTGATCAAGGGATCATTCAAAACCTTAAAGTCCATTATAGATCTACAATGTTGGCAAAACTTATAGGTCATATGGATGCTGACTTCAGTTCTAATGATTTCAAAATAACCCTTCTTGATGGTATTTTAATGTTAAAATCTTCATGGGACAAAGTTTTGCCTGCAGCTATTGCAAACTGCATTGGAAACAAGCTGGCTTCTTACCTTCAATAGACGTGCGAATCAGTGAGAATTCCGCAACATCAACCAGCAATGAGAGTAATGTTACTGATATTTTAGTGGAGCCATTACTTGCTAGGTTATATCAAAAGATTAACATTGAACCAGAGAAGTATGTTAGTGTTAGTTAGTTAGTCGAAAGATTATCCTCATTGCACATCAAACCACTCAGTCCATAAGAGCTTGGATCCCCTCCTCAGCAAATCCTGCAGCGTGTAGCGGCTAACAACACCAGTTCTGTGTTGGCTGATTATTCTTTGGCTACCTGAGTAGTGTTCTTGTTTGGTGACACCCCGTTTAACTTGTTGTTCTTGTTTGGTGACACCCCGTTTAACATGTTGTTCTTGTTTGGTGACACCCCGTTTAACATGTTGTTCTTGTTTGGTGACACCCCGTTTAACATGTTGTTCTTGTTTGGTGACACCCCGTTTAACATGTTGTTCTTGTTTGGTGACACCCCGTTTAACATGTTGTTCTTGTTTGGTGACACCCCGTTTAACATGTTGTTCTTGTTTGGTGACACCCCATTTAACATGTTGTTCTTGTTTGGTGACACCCCGTTTAACATGTTGTTCTTGCAGTCTGACCATGGTTGCAGATTCACAGTTCTCAGTTGGTTCACTCAAACGTCCTAACTCTCTTAGAGCATTCAGTATATGAGCCTGGTCCATGACTTGTCCGGCTTTCACTGCAGCCTCACCTGCAAGCCTATCAGCTTGCTCCTTTCCTTGTACCCCCACATGTTCTGGCACGAAAATGAAACTAATCCTCGTCAGCCATGACCGCTGTAGAGCCACCAACCACTGCCTTCAGACCCAGCCCTTCTCTATCTTCCTGAGCTTACTGCTCGAGTCACTGAGAAAGCATGCCCCAGTGAAAGTCTGTGTCTCTAGCCATGTTACTGCTTTAGTCACAGCCATGACCTCCATAGTCAGACTACTTGTAGTTACTGCAAAAGCTCCAGAATCTTCCTTCACAGCTCTCCCTCCAAACTGAGCCGTGAAAGCCCAGGAGCTTCTAACATGGCAGATTACAGACCCATCTGTTTAAATGACAGCATCACACTCTAGAGCGTTCTCGAAAATCAAGGCTTGAACTACTGCTTCAACGGCAGCCGGACTCATTTGTCTGCATTTTCTGTCTAGTTGGATGTAAACAGAAAAAGATGTACAGCACTCTGAAGGCACTTGCACCCACTCATTGCCGGGTTCTATGTCCTCAAGTGAACATACCTGTAAAATAATATCCTTGGCTTGAACCATCCACGATTTGCCTCTTTTTAACTTGCTGCCTTTTATGTTCTTGATCTGACTATGTAATGGATGTTGTGTGTCTGCCTTGACTGTGAGGTAGGCATGCGCTCGGGAAATTTGTATTCTGTCTTCCATGGTTGTGAAAGTGAGAATTTAGTACAATTACGGAGTGGACAAGGCACGAATCATAAAACACAGTGAGTTCAACATGAGTCTAGACCTCGCGCTGCGACTCACATTAGCCTAACCCTACTCCTAGTCCTAATTATGTCATTTGTGTCGTTCCCTCTTTTCCACTCCGTAATTGCACTGCAGCCAGGGGACTGAACTCTGACTAAGCGGCCGTCCCCGTCCAAGTAGCGACCGTTATTGCAAGGAAAGCTGACTTTTTTTCACACTGCAAAAAGCAAAGCCAAATCACAGACTTGTTCGTTAATTTGTGTCTGAATTTTCATTTGGTCTTGATGTTATATCTTCCAAAATAATTAAATATTTCATCATTTCTGATCTTGTATCGGTTTTAAATTTTATTTGTATGAAATTATCAGATTATCATTCCAACCTGGTGCAAGGAAGGTCCTAGGCCGAGGTTGTGTAGAAGAACGGTAATAATACATTTTACAGCTATAATGATGTTACAGAAGCACCAGATAAGAAGTTAAAGATCTGATTAAAACACCATAAAAGCCGCTAGACTTGCCTAGTTTAACCAGACCGTTGTAGATACAACGGTCGATCTTCTCCCCGTATACATCTTCTGACCTTCTCGAGTCCGCCATCTTGGATCCGTTCTGCACCGGGCTTGCTCGAATACGGCATTCCTGTGTTCTAGAATCGATTCCTGGCTCTCGGGGCACACGTAAAAGTTCTCTGTCTCCTGCAGCTTATTAATGAGGTGTACTCTGAAAGCACAGGCACTATAACCTACTGGCTCATGAACTCTGCGTTCCCTCTTCTCTCCCCCCCCCCCCGCACAAAATTTGTGTTAAAAGGGCGCGTTTTCCAATATTTGTAGAGAGCTTCTCAGACTATAATTTATAAACATGCTTCAGAAAATCGCTACAGGTAGTCTACGCTCCGAATGGGTAGAAAGCATTCAAAAGTTGCAGTTCTCCATCATCTGGATCTACACATCTGGGCACGCAGGAGTAAATGGTAATGGAAAAAGCTGACCAGCTGGCAAGTAAAGCACCAAAGTAAATGGGAAGAAGCATGGACAGAGCTGATATTATCAACGTTGTACGGACGAAGTTGGAGCATATTTGGGAATCTCTTACACTAACCGGACTGCATGACCAAGGAGTTAAGCTTGGTTAAGCACGACTATGCCGTCTTCGAGGTAAAGACAGAAGACATTATAACCAACTCCTCATAGGAATAATCAGTAGAGATACCTTGAAGTGGCTGCTGCATTGGAGGGCTGAGCAGGCATGAGAATGCCCAATGTGCAAAGACGTCGAGTGTGATTACATAATATTTTTAGGGAGCAGTCTTGCACGTCTTCAGGGTGTATTGGGCATAGAGTGCTAGACTTGTATTTTATAGATCGATCGCCACTCGGTGGGTGAGGTGATGTGAGCTGACAGCAGGCAGGCTGTCTTTACTTCCCAGGACTTAACCTTGTCCTCACTCAAGGATGAGTCGAGCTAGTAGCCAAGGTTGTTTTTGAACAAACAGTCATAACCATATTTAAGCATTTCATATTATTTGTGTGTTCTTCTTCTTCGATCCTTCTGTCAGAAAACTTATATCAGGAGCCGGTAGTCTTTATGAAAGCTATTGTGCAGTCCATATCCTCTCGTGTACCATACAGTTTTGTCTTCAGTGTGGTTGGAACAGGCCAGATTGCGTCTCTGTTGTCAGCATACAGTTGACAGTGTTGGAGCACATGCTCAGCATTTTCGGATGCCACGTCTCCGTGTTTCCTACACCGAAAAATGTGAACATATGTTGACGAAATCTGTGCCCAGTCCTTAGTCTAAATATAATTCACTGTCCCTTTCTAGAGAGGCGATGAAGTGAGTCTTGGGGAGAAAATCTGGTGTGGGTATTCAGCCACCTTTCTTGGATACTAGATTGTATTAATGTTTTTGTCTCTTGGTAGGTTAAGTCGCTATTTTATTGTACCATGTCACTGCCGCTTCTGGCCAATCTGTCCGCTATTTCATTGCCTTCCAAGCCACAGTGACCTGGAATCCTCTGCAGTACAGATTGTTCTACAGAAGAGCCTAAGCAAATCAGCTGTTGCGTCAAGTCTACAAACTGAGTGTTTATTTGTGTGTGATCCAGCACATATTCTTCGATCCTTCTGTCGGAAAACTGATATCAGGAGGCCGGTAGCCTTTATGGAAGCTATTGTGCAGTCCATACCCTCTCATGTACCATACAGTTTTGTCTTCATTGTCGTTGGAACAGGCCAGATCGCATCTCTATTGGTAGCATATGGTTGACAGTGTTGGAGCACATGCTCAGCATTTTTTGGTGCCACACTGCAGCAACACGTCTCCGTGTTTCCTACACCAAACAATTTAAGAACATGTTGACGAAGACTTTTGTGCACAGTCGTTAGTCTGAATATAATACACTGTCACTCTCTAACGAGGCAATGAGACGAGTCTTGAGGAAAGAATTTGGTGTGTCTATCCACCCACCTTTCTTGGGTACTCGATTGTATTAATGTCTTAGTCTCTTGATGAGTTAAATCCAGAACATATCAACATCAATAATAATAGTATTGTTGTTGTGAAGTTAAACAAGGCTTAAACGCCCCCTTTTGAAAATTTCTAGAAGAGCTGACAGAAATTAGGCCTAAACCTTGTTTATTATTATTACCTCACAATTATAGTAGGATTGCTGTTATTATTATTATTACGCAAATGACCAAGGCTTGAGAAACTCCCCATAGAAATGCAATGTTTTCTCGGTAGCAGCGTGCCTTTCTGCTAAATTATCTTCAGAGTTGCCCCTTTGAAAGGCCATTCGCACGTTGTGTTGTAGTTTACAGCAAGGCCAACTATATTCGATTCATATATCTCCTTGTGAATGAATGAAGGAATCAAGAATTGAAATAACTGTCGGCCTCTACTTCTCCTTCAGAGTTGAATATCTTCCAGAAGCTCTCTCTACACTACACATCCCTGCTGAAGTAGTCTTTCAATCTATGAACCCCCAGTCTGTTATTTTGTACTGTCCATTTGATCGCTGAGAGCTTTCACCACATCCACTTTATCATATAGTAGCTAACCGCCCAGAGGAGTGACAGCAGCTAATCTATCATTCTGCTCGTTACCTCGCACACCCAAAGTTCCTGGAGAGAAAATCCGCAACCTGCTTTTGACCTGGGTCTTATCAAGTTTCTGTTCTATTTAAGCTATGGATCAACATTATGGCACAAGGGTGGTAACCCATAAGTGCTACGTTCTACTACTAACTCAAGCCTGGGTCCGAAGAAACTCAACACAGTGCACAGGCTCCGTAGCACCGGTGAGGATCCTGAAATATTTTGGGTAGATTTTTATATCCAAATGTTGCCCGGACAGCGCCGTTATGCTACTCTTTTCAATCTCCAATTTCCAAGGGACTTTTTTTTACATGTGCAGCAATACAGACTGGCGTCCGATCTTACTACCCAGAAACCAGGGGAAATTACTAGAAGTCGACAAGACAAAAATCCTAGCCTTCACCGGAGCCGGAACCCGGAACCTTCAGTACTCAAGGTGAATGCCTTGCCTCGAGACAGCTCAGCCCCCTCCGTGTTATCAAGTGATGCAAGTCACTCCACGCGCCGGACTGTCTGTAACAGAATAACACTCCCGTCTGACCAGTTTGGTAACGCAGCTTTCTCTTTAGTAGAATTCACAAACCGGCTATACTCCGAATTACGAGCACAAAAGATGCCGGCCAATGGCGGCCAAAAACAGGGCCTCAGTCACGTGTCAATTTGCACTTTTCCGGCGACTACGGCCACCGCCGAGAGTGGCCCCCACGCCGCTCACGTGGCATGGATTGGGGCTAAACTAGATGGCTAGGACTCACGAGCAAAGCTGCAGGAGATGCAGAAGCTGCTGTTCGTGGGTCCCAGCGATCTAGTTTAGCCCCATCCGTGCTGTGTGACTGAAACTGACTGAAAGATCTGGTTGTTCGTCCACTAAGGCACTTATTTCTTACTTGAGTTTCGTGTACATATCCGTTTTACAGATCTGGCTTATTTTTTTTTTTCCAGACTGTTGTTTTCTTTCACTCAATCTGATACACTCCGACTCTGAAGGAAACCATCCCTTATTAGTTACTTTCTTATATATGCTCGTTGGGAAGGGTGGGGGGAGCATGAGTCTATTTCCCTACTTGCAGCTCCCCCCCCCCCTCCACCCCCTCTTTCCGATGAGAGAAAAAAATTCATATACAAACCTGATTGTTACACAGGAAAGATAGCACTGTCTTCTTCTCCTGGTTCTTCTTTTATGGTATCTTTTACAACATTCACCATCATTATTTTGTGTCGCCGGCGGTAATATTTGTACCTTGGTACCCTCAATAGGGCCCTTGGAGCCCATAGAGGGGGATGTAATGTATACAGAATATAAACACGTGAAACTAATGCTTTAAACAAATAATGGATTGGCCCAGATGACAAAGAACATGTCAACTAACGATTTAGTACAAATTCAGTTTATTACAGTAGAAGTAAACAGTGCAAAATCTAAGCAACAACTGGTCATCTAAATATTCAGATATGATTCAACTGGATTTCCTGCAGTGATTAATCTACATAAGCAGTACATTAAAAATACTGGCATTCTTGTAAACAATCCACAGTGAACATGTCCTTATACTGGCACTATAGCAATGCGATTCCTATAAGATATACGTCAGCTAAGTGATTTTGTACATTCTTGCTCCTGTTTCTGGTATTGTAGACTGATGAAGGTTTTCTGAACGCAACGTTTACTTGTCGTTTGTGTTTGTGATAATGCAATGCTGATGGATTTTGTGTTTGTGATAATGCGATGATGACGAATTCTACCTTTAATTTCCTTCAAATTTTTTTTCATAGTAAACAATACACACCAACAAAAATTCTTTGTAAACAGTCTAAGAATTGCAAAATGAAAAATATTGATTACTTTCAAATTTCAATGAATCAGTTGTTTTGTTTCTCTATTCCCTGCTCCTACTTTTCACATCGTTAATGTGCTGATTCGAGGTGACAAAAGACAACAGTAAGTACAGCCAAGCAAATGTACAAAACTCGTAGACATTAATGTGCCCGCCAGAAAATATTTTCCATGGCCGCCATCGGCATCTCAAAGATGAGAGAAAACACAGCGCTCAGCAGGAAGGACAGGATCAGGTTGCCAATGTAGTTGTACACCTGCGAGTAACAATGATAACTTTGTGTTATGGTGGTTGGATAAAAACTCTTCTCCTTTATCTTCTTCTCCTTTATTTTCTTCTCCTTTATCTTCTTCTCCTTTATCTTCTTCTCCTTTATCTTCTTCTCCTTTATCTTCTTCTCCTTTATCTTCTTCTCCTTTATCTTCTTCTCCTTTATCTTCTTCTCCTTTATCTTCTTCTCCTTTATCTTCTTCTCCTTTATCTTCTTCTCCTTTATCTTCTTCTCCTTTGTCTTCTTCTCCTTTGTCTTCTTCTCCTTTGTCTTCTTCTCCTTTGTCTTCTTCTCCTTTGTCTTCTTCTCCTTTGTCTTCTTCTCCTTTATCTTCTTCTCCTTTATCTTCTTCTCCTTTATCTTCTTCTCCTTTATCTTCTTCTCCTTTATCTTCTTCTTCTTTATCTTCTTCTTCTTTATCTTCTTCTCCTTTGTCTTCTTCTCCTTTATCTTCTTCTCCTTTATCTTCTTCTCCTTTATCTTCTTCTACTTTATCTTCTTCTTCTTTATCTTCTTCTTTTTTATCTTCTTCTCCTTTATCTTCTTCTCCTTTATCTTCTTCTTTTTTATCTTCTTCTTCTTTATCTTCTTCAGGTTTAGCAGCTGTAAACTCTCTCTCTCTCTCTTGTTCACCACCAGGACATCACACAAGCATTAAACACCCGAGGACACAAACTGCAAATGAGGATCACCCTTAGAGAGGCCCCGGAAATCCCATTCAGCAGTTAGGCCATATTTATGGTCCAGATATATTCAGGGCCCCCGGCATAAGCCAGGGTGGGGCTTCAAATAACGAAAAATTGCTTGTTCGTCAATTTCTGCACTATATTCTTGTTCCCTAGATTTGCTGACAAATCCGTTTACAGATCTGGTTTTTTTGTATGCTGACTGTGGGTTTCTTGCCTATCAGGCAGACACACTCCGACTTTGAAAGGAAACACCCCTAATTAATGACCTTTTACGACATGTATGTTAGGGGTTAGTAGGTCTATCTAATCTTGTTTTCACCCATCATTACATCCATCATCATCATGTCTCCAGACACGAAAACATAGGCAGCCATAGTTCTTCATCCAACTACAATTGCTGCCTGTCTACCATTTCTGGTGTATGGGGGGGGGGGGGGGGGGGGTCTTTGAGCCTGAATATGAAAGACTTTTCTTAACGCGGGTGGGTCTTGCTAGTCCCTCTCGCCATCGCCATGGACTGTGAGTCCCATGCCTCATCATAGCGCAATATAACACTATCATCTGGAAAGACGAAAAGGTGCCGTCAACAAAAAAAACAACTACTACTCCTTTTAATAATAATAATACTGATGCTGCTGTTGCTGCTGCTGCTACTACTACTGCTGTTGCTGCTACTACACAAGAAAGGTAAAATGGCAAGAGACAAGAGAAACTTTCTGTTTGCTTGCAATAAAAGTAAGTTCTGTAAAGGACCTGCTACCTGATTATGATGATGATGATGACAAAGACGACCTATTCTACCTACCAAGCTGAGATTTGCGGGGTCAAGGTAAATGGTGGTGCGTCGGCTGTAGACCACAAACATGATGAGCAGCGGATGCAGCAGGTACAAGGAGTAGGTCAGCCGGGACAACACCAGAAATGGCCTCCAACTCAGGATCACATTAGCATATCCTGTCGGTTTATTTCTGGGAATTACTGCATAGCTTAGGTATATGCTGATTTATAGTAAAGACAAACGTCTTCTTTTTCTGTCTGATTACTTAAACTATAAAGTGTCAGAGAGAGGAGATAGAAATAGTTTCCTGTTGTTTGTCCTACTGATTATACCATAAAATGTCACAGAGAGGAAATAGTGTCCTGTTGTTTGTCCTACTGCTTATACAATAAAGTGTCACAGAGAGGAGATAGATATAGTGTCCTGTTGTTTGTCCTACTGATTATACCATAAAGTGTCACAGAGAGGAGATAGATATAGTGTCCTGTTGTTTGTCCTACTGCTTATACGATAAAGTGTCACAGAGAGGAGATAGATGTAGAGTCCTGTGGTTTGTTCTACTAATTATACCACAAAGTGTCACAGAGAGGAGATAGATATAGTGTCCTGTTGTTTGTCCTACTGATTATACCATAAAATGTCACAGAGAGGAGATAGATGTAGAGTCCTGTGGTTTGTTCTACTAATTATACCATAAATTGTTGCAGAGAGGCGTTAGATGTAGTTTTACACTCTACACTGGCAAATGAAGAAGAGAAGGAACACGTATAGGAATGCTCTGTGTGCAGAGATGTCAATTCTTGCTCATTCATTCATTCATTCATTCATTCATTCATTCACTCGTGGGATAAAATCACTGACAGCTGCATCATCAATGCACCACCAGCAGGCTGTGTTGCTGGACATGGAGGAAATGGAATGAACAAACTTAATTTTCAAAGGGTCACAAATTGGGCACGCAGGCCCGTCTTACATTCGACCCTTCCAAACACCCGTCTTTCACACTGCAGCTGTATTTTTTCAAAAGCTTGATGTATTTATATGATATTAAGCATATTATGAATTTAAAAAAGGAGGGGGCACAAAAGCATGGGTACTAAAATGCATGCACACACACCCACCCACTCACTTAAAAACACCAACATACCTTCACACACATAAACACACCCCATTGACCTATATACATACCCACATAGACACGCACATTCCTCACACATACAAACATACAGATATACACACACAGACACACCCATAGCAACAAATGCAGACACACACACAAACAGACATATGCGCACATACCCAATCACACAAGCAGATATACATACACATGCGACACAAACACACACAAACCGGCATACACACACACACATGCAGACACACACAAGACACATATGCACAAACACACGCAGACACAAACACACAGATACACACGGAGACACACAAACACACACACAATCGCACACACACACACACACAAATGCACTGATGCTCACGCAGACACATACACACAACCACAGACACACACACGCAGAAGCATACTCAGGCATTCATGCACACAGGCACACGGAGTTGTGACGAGGTTCAATGACATGACTGTATTTGAACAAATGTAGAATTTTGTATATAAAAAAATTTAAATTTTTGTATCTGAAAAATCCTTATGTGGGCTACGGGGCCCCCTTGTAAGGAAAACAAGAACAGACCCACTGTCTCCCCAAAAAGCATACGGTAAAAGTTAACTAACAGGAAACTTCTTTGGAACTCGGAGTGCACCTACCTCAGAGGCAAGGAGACAACAGTCTACATATAAATAAGCTAGATCTGTAAAATGGATGAACAAGCAACACACAGGTTCTTTCTTCTTCATTCTTCTTCGCATTCACCAGCTGTAAACTCTGGTGGAAAGTTGTGGTTGTTCATCCACTTCTGGACTGCAGTCCTGTTCCAGAACCTGAGTGTTGCATGTGCATCCATTTTACAGATCTGACTCATTTGTATGCAGACTGCTGGTTCCTTGCCTCCCCGGCAGATGCACTCCGACTTTGAAGAAAGCTCCCAGTTAGTCGGCTCTTACGACATGCTTTTGGCTAGGCAGTGGGTCTATTCTTGTTTTCCCTATATCAGGGTCCCGGAACCCACACTGGCAACACAAATTCTGAAACAGGACTAAAGCCAAGAGGTGGACGAACAACCAAAACTTTTCCTGGAGTTTACAGTCAATGAACGCACAGAAAATAAAGTATATAAAACATCAAAGTTATAAGACATACTGCTTATTTTCGGGGAAACACATCTATGTTACCCACAACGTGTCAACATAAAACCCAGTTACCTCCAAGATCGGTACAACAGGCAAATATCACCCAGGCCATGCAGACAGCCCAGGTGGGTCGCGCCAAACTCTCGAAGAAAGATTGCTGCAGCTGATCCCAGTTCTTGGAGCCATGTTTCCATTGGCTGTGGTTGATGAGAACCAAGAGAATGGACAAGGCGGTGACCACAACCCACACACATGCGGCTTTCCGCTGCAACAAATGAAATCAGACTTTCATTGGTAATTTGTTAACTTCTGCTTCTGCTTTAACATTCAGAGCCTTGAGGCTAACTGGTGCTGATATCACCTCATCCATTCATCTCCTTGACTGTTCCACATACCACCCTGTGGCACCAAACCACGCCGTGCTACCCGCTGAACCATTCTGCGGCTCCCACACCACACCGCGCTTCCCACACCACACCGTGCTACCCCTACCCGCTGAACCCCTCGGTAGATTGGAAAAACAACACTGGTTATAACTACGGAAAAGATTTTCTGAGGCACTTGAACAGAACAGACCAAGTCACAGTTTTTCGCGTACGCACTGGACACTGCAGACTCAATAAACACTCACATAAATTAGGTATGAGCCAAACAGCTCTCTGCCAGTGTCTTACGTGCTGAACAGACTCCAGAACATGTCCTGCAAGACTGTCCTCTCCTGGCGGAGCTGCGGAGCGACATATGGCAACACCCAGTAGAACTGACAACTAAGCCTTTGGGGAAACCTAAGAGACCTTGAAAAGACATCCCAGTTTATGACCCACAGTGGATTATGCGCATGACCAGAGATCGCTGAAGAAGAAGAAGAACCCCTCGATGATAATCACACCATGCTGTGCTACCCGGTAACATTGGCAGAATCAGACTATGCTAGCAACAATAATATATCTACGACATGCTCCACCACCCATTCATCAGACCACACACATATTGCATCCTAGCTACAGCTAAAACCATGAGCCACCGGCACCTAATCCCAAGACACCACATTCACACCCTTTGCCATAATTATCCCACTGTATCCTATGTCCTGACACCCTCGATGACCCCTAAATCTCCTCAATCATACGCCTTGTATGCAACATAGTAGCAGCAGAAGCAGTAGCAGTGGTGGTTTTAGTAGTAGTAGTAGCAGCAGCACTAGCATCAGCAGTAGCAGCATCAGCAGTAGCAGCATCAGCAGTAGCTGTTGTAGTAAGAACAGTAACATTAGTAGTAACAGCAGCAGCTTTAGTGGTAGTAAGAGCACTAGCAGTAGTTGTAGTAGCAGCCCCCCCCCCCCCCGTGTGGGTTCCGGGGCCCTATTGTGGGGAAAACAAGAATAGACCCACTGCCTCCCCAGAGGCATGTCGTAAGAGTCGACTAACTGGGGAGCTTCCTTTGAAGTCGGAGTGCATCTGCCTGAGAGGCAAGGAACCAGCAGTCTGCATTCAATTTAATCAGATCTGTAAAACTGATGCACACGCAACACTCAGGTTCTTGAACAGGACTGCAGTCCAGAAGTGGACGAAAAACCAGAGCTGTACACCAGAGTTTACAGCTGGTGAACGCGAAGAAGAAGAAGAAGAAGTAGTAGCAGCAGCAGTAGCAATAGTAAGAGCACTAGCAGTAGCTGCAGCAGCAGTAGTAGTAGCAGTAGCAGCTGTAGTAGTAGTAAGAGCACTTGCAGCAATAGTAGTAGTAGCAGCAGCTGTAGCAGTAGTAAGAGCGCTAGCAGCAGCAGCAGCAGTAGTAAGAGCACTTGCAGCAATAGTAGTAGTAGCAGCAGCTGTAGCAGTAGTAAGAGCGCTAGCAGCAGCAGCAGCAGTAGTAGTAGCAGCAGTAGTAGTAGTAGCAGCAGCAGTAGTAGCAGCTGTAGTAGTAGTAAGAGCACTAGTAGCAGCAGCAGCAGTAGTAGCAGCAGCTGTAGTAGTAGTAGTAGTAGTAAGAGCACTAGCAGCAGCAGTAGTAGCAGCAGCAGCAGTAGTAGTAGCAGCAGTAGTAGTAGTAGCAGTAGTAGTAGTAGTATAAGCAGCAGCATCTGTAGCTGTAGTAAGAGCACAAGCAGGAGCAGCAGTAAGAGTAGTAGAAATAGTAGTAACAGCAGTAGTCTGTCATAGAATCCTCAAACCCGGGAGTCTTACCTTGGAAATGAGAGGCTTGCCGGAATGTTTGTAGAGCGCCACTCCCAGACCCAAGCCCACAGCAAAAACACTAGCCCTGGCCCAGGGCATCGTATAGACGTTAGTCCAATACTCGAGAAAGCTCAGGTCCATCCTGGCAATACAGGACAGTTCCTTTATGGCTTCATAGATGTTCAAAGTTACCTTATTATACACTTGTACAATCAACACTGCTGGTGCCTTTCTGTCTTTCCAGGCACAGTGTTTTATTGGGCTATGAGGAGGTATAGAAATCACAGCACATGGCAATGGTGAGTGTGACTATAAAGACCCCCCGCCCCCTTCTACAATTAGACCATGGAATTGCAGGACCTCTTCATAGCTCAGAGCCTGCACAGTATTGTGGAAACCATCTGTTGTCCATGCATCATGATATGTCAGTCGGGCTGCCTTGTTTACTCCAAAGGAAAGATAGCATCAGTACGTTTGGAACAAAGCCTGCTGCACAAGTTGCTGGATCAGAACATCAGTGCTCTGGATGTCCTCCGCCGGAGCTTCTCTTGTTGCCAGTTGCCAGCCAAGGATAAGGGCCAAAATAAACTAACACCACATCTCAAGTAGCTACTGCTTTAAATTTCCTCCGCCTCCTACTCCTCTTTCTTCTTCTTCTTCTTTTTCTTGTTCTACTTCTTCATCACCATCATCATCTTCTGTTTTGACACAGTGTTGTGTTGCTTACAGCTAGACTGCGATATCTACACATTGCGACCCAACATATCCAACTCCAGCTAACCATTTTAGTCACCTAATCACCTTTTGTAACCACAAGGAGCCGTCGATCTATTCCCTCCCCCCTCCCCACTCCCATATCCGCCCGCACAAACCGGCCTCAAAGCACACATTGGATTAATGGTATAAATTACTAGTTGTGAAGCTTTATTAGGCATCTCTGGCGATGATACCATCTACACACCTGGCTAGAATTGATACCTTCCCCAAACCTTGCTAGTGGTGATATTTTCCTCACACTTGGCTAGTGGTGAACCCTCTCCCACACCTGACTAATAGTAATGTCTTCCTCACACATGAACAGTAGTGATACCTTCCCCACATTTGGTGATACATTAGTTTATACCTGTGAGTAGTGACGACAATTACAACAACAGAACAAACACACCAACATGACAATACACGCAAACTTACAGAACAAACTGCCCGCCATGGATGTACTCGGACACAAATGCAAAAGTCACCCCAAGAACCAGCAGTAGGAGGATAGAACCCACTCCAGCCCTTAGATTTCTGTAAACAATCAAGTATTTCTGTAAACATCCCTATCTTTTCATTTAAAACTAAAAATCTATGTGTCTGTATATTTGTCTGTCACAAGAGCACCACCCAAACGGTGAACAACAGAGGAGTGAAATTTGCAGATATAATTCTGCCTGCAATGTCTAAGTTATCTGCGTTATTTGCAACACCGTTTCTATGTATTTCTAATAATTAACGTCATGACAATTAAAAGTTACCACTGGCGTTTTTTATCCTCCTGAGTACCTATGTATTTTATTTCCATATCTGAATAATAAATTTGACAAAATAAAGTTCATTTCATTTTTAACACTTATATACCATTGTCATTAGGTTTTATATTTACATCTTTTGTCTGCAGTTTGCTGTAACTATTTGCATGATTTCAGGTTTACTATGGCAGAAAGGCTGGCTAATCGTTAAACTTATAGCATCTTATTTGATTTTGACCATGGTTTGCTGCCGCATTTTCCTCATGTATGGATTCAAATTACAGTGTCCTCGCCCAGCTATGGTGTGGCACTCTGAGCTGTTAACTTCTTGTGGAATTGATTTCGACTGTGGCCTAAGAGGTTTATGCTGAGAATTATTGATTGAGAAAATGGCGGATGACACGTAGCATCAGAACTGACAATTCAATGGTAAACAGTTTCTTATTGCTATGATCAATGATGACTCCGTCTGTGTTTCGGGACTTGATTAGGGATGCTCTCTTTGAGGTCAGGGTGTATCTGCCTGAAAGGTAAGGAACCAACAGCCTGCACCCAAATAGGCCCGACCTGTAAAACAAACGTACACGCAGAACTCAATTTCTGGAAAAAGACTAAAGTACAGACTAACTGCAGGTGAATGAGAAGTAGAAGAAAATCGATGATGAATTCGTTCTAGTGGTGGTCTGTTTCCATTGGTACATTCAGCATCTTTCTTGTGCATTTGGTTCTTCTTTTTCTACTGCATCTTTCCTTAATAGTGCCGTTAGCACGTAAATAATATAACAATAGGAAGTCGAGGGGTGGGGGGGGGGGGGGGGGGGGGGTAAAAATATAAGATGACGAAGTAAAGGGAGAAAAAGAATAAATAATATAAGATGGCAAAGTCTAGGATAACAAAAGATAACAATAAAAGATTACGAAGTCGAGGGAAAAATGGCAATATAAGAGAAAGTCAAGGGAGGCAAAATATAACAATTTAAGAAGAAAAACGACCACATGACTGAGACTGACCCCACTGCAGACTGACCACACTGCAGACTGACCACACTGCAGACTGACCACAATGCAGACTGACCACACTGCAGACTGACCACACTGCAGACTGACCACAATGCAGACTGACCACACTGCAGACTGACCACACTGCAGACTGACCACAATGCAGACTGACCACACTGCAGACTGACCACACTGCAGACTGACCACACTGCAGACTGACCACAATGCAGACTGACCACACCGCAGACTGACCACACCGCAGACTGACCACACCGCAGACTGACCACACTGCAGACTGACCACAATGCAGACTGACCACATTGCAGACTGACCACAATGCAGACTGACCACACTGCAGACTGACCACACTGCAGACTGGCCACAATGCAGACTGACCACACCGCAGACTGACCACACTGCAGACTGACCAAAAACAGAGACTGACCACACTACAGACTGACCACACCGCAGACTGACCACATCACAGACTGACCAAAAACAGAGACTGACCACACTGCAGACTGACCACACCACAGACTGACCACACTGCAGACTGACCAAAAACAGAGACTGACCACAATGCAGACTGACCACACTGCAGACTGACCACACTGCAGACTGACCACACTGCAGACTGACCACAATGCAGACTGACCACACTGCAGACTGACCACACTGCAGACTGACCACACTGCAGACTGACCACACTGCAGACTGACCCCAATGCAGACTGACCACAATGCAGACTGACAACACCGCAGACTGACCACACTGCAGACTGACCACACTGCAGACTGACCCCAATGCAGACTGACCACATCGCAGACTGACCACAATGCAGACTGACCACAATGCAGACTGACCACACTACAGACTGACCACACTGCAGACTGACCACAAACAGAGACTGACCACACTGCCAACTGACCACAAACAGAGAATGACTGCACAACAGAAACTGACCTGTGGGTAGTGTAGATAAATATCGGAGAAACCAGGAACAGCTGCATGTCGACAGCCATGAACCAGGACCAGGTCATACACTGAAAACATCACATTTTGGTTATGTGGTAAAAATATCACATTTAGGTCATGTGGTGAAAATATCACAATTAGGTCATGTGGTGAAAAAATCACATTTAAGTTATGTGGTGAAAATATCACATTTAGGTCATGTGGTGAAAATATCACATTTAGGTCATGTGGTGACAACAGGTCGTTCTCAAAACCTATATAAATCCAACCCTGATATATGGAAGTGAATCATGCACAGTAAGCCAGTTTGTGAACAATTATGTTGAAGCAGTGGAGATATGGTTTTATAGATCAATGATCAATGGCTGGCTCAGGCTTGTGATACTGTATTGTCTTCTTGTCGCAAAGCTTTCTGTGTTGTTGTTACTCGTTTTTGTGAGCAGCGGCCGGCGATGTTGCATTTTCACGTGTTGGTGTGAGCAGCGGCCAGCGATGTTGCGTTCGCACTCTTTGTTCTGAGAGGCAGCGTGTATTATAGCTGTCTCGGACTTAAATCTCACTGAGCTGTCAGGGTTGATGAGCAACATGCAAAAAAGCGTTGCTTCCATGCGTGCTACGCTGCACTTTGTGGGACACAGGCTGAGGCTGAGGGTAGAGGAGTTGAGGTTAGGGCCAGTTCTAGATATCACGTCGCTTGTTGGTGATAGCACCGGACACGACACCCCTATCATGTAAATTAACCTGAGCAAGCATAAATGAAAGGTCAGCTAGTGTGCAGTTGGGCAAGACTTTGTAAAATGAACCCTCAAAAAATGGCTAAATAATACTGAAAATCTACACACACACATATATATTTGCTTTAGCAATGCAGACTAAACAACATGAAGAACCTATGGCATGGTACTGTGAAGTGAGTTGAGATCATGGATCTTCCCCGTGGCAACATATGGCTGTAAGTCATGGATTCTTACACAATCTTTGAAGAAAACCATCGGAGCTTTTGAACTGGAATGCTACAGAAAATCGTGGACCATAAAGAAGAAAAACACAGACATGCTTCATGATTTGATTTGATTCAAGAACCGACATCACAGCACTCAGGGCATTCCCATAAGCGCTCTGTCCTCATCTTCAGCAGAGTTCAGATACTAATGGTGCCAGTAGCATTCTGATTAAACGTCTGTCTTGCCTTTCCTCGAAGCCTCGACATGCTACATGATATGAACATCTAGGAGAATTGGCTCATAAACAGCATTCTGTCCTGAAAGATGAAGTATTCGGCCTTGTTTAACATCATAGTGGTCTGGGAAGAAGGTGAAGGAGGGTACCGATTTAGGAAAACGATGCAGAAGATTCCTTAGCGATGGCGGATGCAATAGACTGAAGATAAAATATCTATGAAAGCTCGCAGGGCTTGAGAATTGGCTAGAGAAAAAGAGACATTCAGATGTGTGTACCTAAAGGAACTTCTGATTGATGATGATGATGATGATCTACATCCAATCAGCAAGAAAGAGAGTTAGCAAATGGAACTCTCTAGATTGGCTGACCTTGCTGTGTGGCTTGTAGAAGTTGTTGATGTAGAGGAGGTGTGCCCACCACTTGTGCCGACATTGTTCAAACTCCACCAGCTTGTAGGACTTCAGAGGGCCTTGAACTATGTGCTCGTACAAGGTCATCCCCAGGAACAGCACGAGCATGTACATCGGGGTCAGTCTGAGGAGGAAAGGTGAGAGGTCGTGGGGGTTAGACGTGACAATGGCTATCTCTAATGGGGAAGAAATGTAAAAGGTCATGAAGGTTAGAGGTGACAATGTCTATTCTTGGTTAAGGAAGAAGGTGAGAGGTTATGAAGGTTAGAGGTGACAATGTCTATCCCTGGCTGGGGAAGAAGGTGAGAAGGTGAGAGGTTATGAAGGTTAGAGGTGACAATGTCTATCCCTGGCTGGGGAAGAAGGTGAGAGATTATGAAGGTTAGAGGTGACAATGTTTATCCTAGGCTGGGGAAGAAGGTAAGAGGTTATGAAGGTTAGAGGTGACAATGTCTATCCCTGGCTGGGGAAGAAGGTGAGAAGGTGAGAGGTTATGAAGGTTAGATGTGACAATGTCTATCCCTGGCTGGGGAAGAAGGTGAGAGATTATGAAGGTTAGAGGTGACAATGTCTATCCCTGGCTGGGGAAGAAGGTGAGAGGTTATGAAGGTTAGAGGTGACAATGTCTATCCCTGGCTGGGGAATAAGGTTAAAGGTTATAAAGGTTAGAGGTGACAATGTCTATCCCACCCTGGGAAGAAGGTAAGGGGGTCACTGCAGTTAAAGCTCGTGGCACAACTCAGGTTTTCACCCCATCTCGTTCACATCGGCGGCTGGGTCGCCCATTGGCTCATTGGAAAAGATGACTTTGTCGCCAGTTGGGACAGTATCCTTTTCATGGCTTTTGGTGGCGAGCAATGCTAAACCATTTTACACGGCGCCCATAACCTAGTCATAATTATAACTGAAAGCTCCCCCTTCGGGAATGCTAGTTGAATGTGACTACCCCCCTTCCTCCCCCCGGCTGCCTAGCAAAGCACCTAACTCCATCCCCTCTCGTTCGTCTGCATGATTTTATGTTTGTTCCACGGACATTCCTATGTTGTAGGGGTGTCATGAGATGACTTCGTTTGTTGTCTATACACAGCGTGCCAAACAGTGGCTGGGCTTTTTTTGACGAGGTCTACACACTCTCTCCCAGAGGAAACTGCACAGCTTAAAACGTTCAAAACAAGCAACACTTGACACCCCTACAACATAGGACAGCCCATGGGAACGGTTACAAAATCTCGTGTTGGGGTGACAAACGTGAGGTGTACCGAGCTTGTACTGACTAGGTCATCGTTTAGAATGTCTGCCCCTGGCTGAGGGGGAAGGTGAGAGGTCAAGGAGGTTCAGGGTTACAATGTATATCCATGGCAGTGGAAGAAGATGAGAGGTGAAGTAGGTCAGAGGTTACAATTTTGTGACCCTTTTAGTTTATTCAATGTTGATTACAAGGTTCCGATGGACCATATGTTGTCATTATTTAATACTGAATTATAGCTTCTGAGGGGGTTGAACAAATAATTTGGGATTTTCCATCTAGAATACAAGCTATTCTGTCAACCTTCCGCTGTAAGCCTGAAAAGGGGTGGGAGTGGAACAGTTAGACATAGATATAAATCAGAAATTTCGAACAATTGTGAAATCTTAAATATTATAAACTTTGAATACTCTGTCTTCTACCCCCTCCCCCACTTTGGTGAGGAGGGTGGGGTTAAAGTTGTCTCAAATTCATGCACACGAACGGCGCACACATACACGGCGCACACATACACGGCGCACACATACACGGAGCACACATACACGGCGCACACATACACGGAGCACACATACACGGAGCACACATACACGGAGCACACATACACGGAGCACACATACACGGCGCACACATACACGGCGCACACATACACGGCGCACACATACACGGCGCACACATACACGCCGCACACATACACGGCGCACACATACACGGAGCACACATACACGGCGCACACATACACGGCGCACACATACACGCAACACACATACACGGCGCACACATACACGGAGCACACATACACGGCGCACACATACACGGAGCACACATACACGGCGCACACATACACGGCGCACACATACACGGAGCACACATACATGGAGCACACACACACACACATGGAGCACACACATGCCTTGCACACACACGGAACACACACACACACGGAAAACACACACACACTGGTGCACAAAGGAATACCTCCAGAAGCGGTGGAACAGGAAAGTTGACCAAAACTTGACCCCTGGCTTGTGTCTCCGTAGCAACCGAAGGGTGACCAGCATGGTCAAGCAACCGCTGTAGATTGAGAGTGGGGCGGTCATTTTATAAAGTCTCTTTTTATTCTTCTTGGTCTTCTTTCTTCTTCTTTTTCTTCTTCTTCTCTCTTCTTCTTCTTTTTATTTATTTTTCTTCTTCTTCTTTTTCTTCTTCTTTCCTTTTCTTCTTCATCTCAGCATTCACTGATGTGAACTCCAGCGGAAAGTTCTGGTTGTTCGTCCACTTCTGGACTCAGTTCTTGTTTTAGAATCTGAGTTATGCGTGCATATCTGCTTTACAGATTTGGTGTATCTATATCTATATAGCGGCGTCCGTGGCTAAGGCGTTGCGCTGACTCGTGAGCCAGCATACCGCGATCGAAACCCACTGCAGGCTGCGTGGATTGTTGTCGTGGTATGGGACGTCGCAGGTCGACCCAGCCTAAAATGGGTACCAGGATGGGCTGTCCTGGGAAAGTAAAGACAGCCGGCGTAATGCTGACCACATTACCCACAGAGTGCTGATGGTCTGTAAAAATATGGGACGCTCTGCCCATATGCCTGATACGCCTAAAGGCGTGAAAAGGGATCTTTACTTTTTTTTTAAATATCTATATATAGACTGTCAGTTTCTGGTCTCTTATGCAGATTTACTTTCTGTTTCTGAGCACACCCATATTTATTCGCCTTCTAAGACACGCTTGTTGTGGGCAGCGGGGCTATGCCTGACACACCCCCCCCCCCCCCAAACGGTCTCATTAGTAAAATAATGAGCCTCATTGCATGTCCGGTAAAATAATGAGCCTCACTGCTTGTCGAGTGAAATAATTAGCCTCGTTGTTTGTTGAGTGAAATAATGAGCCTCATTGTTTGTCCGGTAAAATAATTAGCGTCACTGCTTGTCGAGTGAAATAATGAGCATCGTAGTTTATCCGGTAAAATAATGAGCCTCACTGCTTGTCGAGTGAAATAATTAGCCTCGTTGTTTGTTGAGTGAAATAATGAGCCTCATTGTTTGTCCGGTAAAATAATGAGCCTCACTGCTTGTCGAGTGAAATAATTAGCCTCGTTGTTTGTTGAGTGAAATAATGAGCCTCATTGTTTGTCCGGTAAAATAATGAGCCTCACTGCTTGTCGAGTGAAATAATGAGCCTCGTTGTTTGTCCGGTAAAATAATGAGCCTCACTGCTTGTCGAGTGAAATAATGAGCCTCGTTGTTTGTCCGGTAAAATAATGAGCCTCACTGCTTGTCGAGTGAAATAATGAGCCTCACTGCTTGTCAAGTGAAATAATGAGCCTCATTGTTTGTCCGGTAAAATAATGAACCTCACTGCTTGTCGAGTGAAATAATGAGCCTCACTGCTTGTCGAGTGAAATAATGAGCCTCATTGTTTGTCCGGTAAAATAATGAACCTCATTGTTTGTTGAGTGCAATAATGGTAATGGAATACAAATTAATGCTTAACTGTGTGGTGAACAAATAGTAAATGTTATCTATGTTGAACTCATGATGGCCTGCAAAATATACTAATGGTAAATGTTATCTATGTTGAACTCATGATGGCCTGCAAAATATACTAATGGTAAATGTTATCTATGTTGAACTCATGATGGCCTGCAAAATATACTAATAGTAAATGTTATCTATGTTGAACTCATGATGGCCTGCAAAATATACTAATAGTAAATGTTATCTATGTTGAACTCATGATGGCCTGCAAAATATACTAATGGTAAATGTTATCTATGTTGAACTCATGATGGCCTGCAAAATATACTAATAGTAAATGTTATCTATGTTGAACTCATGATGGCCTGCAAAATATACTAATGGCAATCATGAACTAAGAAGACATAAACTATAGATTGTACAATTTATTGCCTCGCATATTTCCCTGTATCTCGTCGGTAACAACTGATTAAAATGAATCAAATAAATTGATCCTTTTAACTAAAACACAAAATCGACTACATTTAAAAGTTACAGTCTGTATCCCCAGAGTAAATGCGTTGTGACGGCCATGACCTTTATTCACTGTTGAATGCACCTGAGGAGATACAGCATAGTATGCCAGACAATAAATGGAGCAGACTACTGGTTGTGTCTTCTTGGTTCAAATTTCCAATGAGAAACATTGCTTGAATGGACAATCACAGTCTGGTGAGAGTGTTGCTGTGAGGAGTGACGAGAAGATCTGGCTGATACTCGTCACTCAGAGGAAAGGCAAGACTGAAGTTTAAAGTTTGAACAACGGATCAACATCATGGCGCACAGGTAGTAATGCATAAGTGCTCCGTTCTTCTCTTAACTCAAGTCTGAGTCCGAAGAAGCTCAGCACAGTGCACAGGCTCTGTAGCACCAGCGAGGATCCTGAAATACTTTAGGTAGATTTTTAACTCCAAATTTTGCCCCGGCAGTGCCGTTAGGCTACTCTTTTCAATTTCCAACTGCCAAGGGATTTTTTTACGTGCGCAACAATGCACACAGGCGTCCGATCTCACTACATAGACATAGGAGGAAATACTAGAAGTCCATGTCCACGTGAAAAAATCCTAAACCTTACCGGGTATTGAACCCGGAACCTCTAGCACTCGAGGCAGACACCATACCTCGAGACCACGCAGCCCCCAAGACTGGCATAAAATGCACGTATGGGAATGCTCCGAGTGCTATGAAGCAGGTTTCATCTCAGCTTAGCTGATACTGTTGATGAAGATCTGCCAGGTGAAGTAAGGATTATATGCAAGCAGAAGTGATGATGATTTGCTAGATGAACTAATGAAGATCTGCAAGGACATGGTGACAAGTGCAAGGTAAGCTAACAAAGATCTGAAGATGAACTGATTAATATCTGCAATATGGACTAGCAAGGATCTGCAAGATGAACTAATATCTGCAATATGGACTAGTAAAGATCTGCAAGATGAACTAATTAAGATCTGCAAATATGGACTAGTGAAGATCTGCAAGATGAACTAATATCTGTAATAGGGACTAGTAAAGATCTGCAAGATGAACTAATTAAGATCTGCAATATGGACTAGTGAAGATCTGCAAGATTGATTAATGATGATCTGGTAAGATCTGGTGCAAAAAAAAAAAAAAAAAACTAGAATGATAATTATGATGAGAATGATGATGAGGATAATGGGAGAGTGGCGAAGGTAAATGATAGATGATTAAAAATGATGAAGTTAACAACGACAACAGCTATGACCTGATGACAAAGAAGGTGTCCACAGCCAACTGGGCAGATCCCACAATGTGAAAGGACAAACGGGCAGATGTCTCCACAAGCTCCGCTGAGTTTTCTGACGAGACAAACCAAAACTAAAGTCAAGCAGCTGGGACATTCTCCAGTAAAATTTAAATGTCTGCTGTGAACACACAATAATGAGAATGATGATGATAATGATCATGGTCAGCATCATCATCATCAGCAGCAGCAACATCATCATCAGCAGCAGCAGCATCATCATCATCATCATCAGCAGCAGCAGCAACAACAACAGCATAATAATCAACATCGTGTAAAAACTGTGATGTACAAGGCAGAACATCTAAATGCTCTGAGGGTTTTGGCCATTTCACTGTAGCATGTCTTTTCATGCCCTAATTATGAATAAATCAATGAATCAATAAAGTGTTGATGTCAATGCGTTCAGGACCATCCCCACAACAATCTTTCTCTCTTCTTGTCAGGCAACAAGGAGTTCCTGTGATGCCAGTTCATCTTCAAGTGTCTTGCCGACTAGCATTGGCGATAACGCTTCTCTACAATCTGCGATCCGCAGCTGCATAAGTTGGTCTACATAACTGCCTAGGTAATTTGTTAATGTTCTCATACCATGTAACAACGGCCCACCATGACCCATGGCTCTTCTCATAAGATGACTCAAAAATGATGATAGTCTCTTACTGATGCTTGTGATAAGTTGTCTTTGAGCACTCGCCTCTTTCAAAACATCTGGGTTGCTCTTCTTAGCTGTCCAAGGAATTCTAAGGATTCTCCTGTAAAACCACATCTCTGAGGCCTCAAGAAATTGTTTGGTTTGTTTATTAATTGTCCAGGATTTACAGCCGTATGATAAAACTGACTATATAAAGCATGTATAAGCATGGTACCAGGAAGTAGGGGCAGGGGCTGACCAACAGAAGATGGGCACAGGATATAAGTGACTCCTTGAGTATGAAAGTTCATGAGGTGGGAGAACTGGTGAGAGACTGAGTTTCTTTCAGACAGACCGTGATGGAAGCGACGTTCTGCAAAGAACCTGCTATATGATGATGATATATATAGCATGTGAGAATTCTTTTCCTAACCCCCAATAACATGAATTTATTGCATAAAATGTTCTTTATTTGATAAAAGGCAGTTTTGGCCTGTCCTACCAAAACAGCGCTAAAGCAGTCTTTCAAGCGGGAGTGGAGAAGGCAGAATGGAGATTACAGACCAGTGAGTGACAGCATAAACAAACTCAACAGGAAAGAACAAACAACAATTTTTAGACTTCGGACTGTGTGATCTTCGAGCACACCTGTACAGGATAGGCATAAAAGAATCTGCTGCCTGTGATTGTGGTGCAGAAAGACAGACCCCTGAGCATATACTACAGTACTGCCCTAACCTCTCCCAGCAAAGACTGTGGATCTGGCCCAAGGGAGCCACATTGAAAGAGAAGCAATGGGGGACCAGTGGCGACCTTAAAAGCACAATTTGTTTTTAATAGCTGCCACACTGATGCGTGCACGCATCCTATTTGTGACCCAGACGGGACTCAATGTCTAGCATGACTGATGTCGAACGCAGAAGAAGAAGAAGAAGGCCTGTCCTGTTTTTTATCTCTGTGATGCATCTTCCATCGGATGTTATCCTAGACACCGAAATTTCTGTACCTGTCCTAAAAAAATGCCTTGATGTTTATTATACATTTAGGCACTATTCTTGGATCTTGGAAATCCAGTTACTTCTGCCACATACTTTTATAAAAATTAGTCTGTCTTTTTCCCTGACTACATCCAAAACAAGGCACTGTACATTAACATGGCTGTAACAATGTATGTGATGAAGAAAAATAAGTAGGTTTCTTTGGACTTTAGTCTTGTTCCAGAAACTTTGCGTTTGTGCACATCAATTTTACAGAATTGTCATATTTGTATGCATCCAATTAGTCGACTCCTACAATATGCTTGTTGGGGAGGCAGTGAGTCTATTCTTACCCCCCCCCCCCCCCACCACACAATCTGGCCCCGAAACCCACACGAGTGAATTTCCCACGACTTTACCTGGCATCAATTTCAGGCTAGTTGACTTGAAAGCCAGGCTCATTTTTCAGGAGAGAGAAAAAAAAACCCATGCAGATTTGAACCCTAGACTTAAGGTCTACACGCCAGTATTTAGCGACTACACTGCTATGGCATCCTATACCAAACAGACACTTACCAAATACGAGATTGTCTACATCAAGCATGCCTCCGTACGTGTAACAATGGCCCACCACAATCCATGCCAATGAGATCACACGCATTCCCTGTCAATGATTGTTCAAACTGTTTTAAATAACCAGAAACATGGACACATTTTGTAGTCAGGTAAATAGTAACTGTCAAGGTTGTCCCTTTGCACATTCTTCTTTTTCTTCATCTTCTTCTTCTTACTCCTTCTCCTCCTTTTCTTCTTCTTCTTCTTCCTTCTTCTTTTTCTTTCTCCTCCTCCTTTTCTTCTTCTTCTTCTTCTTCTTCTTTTTCTTCTTTCTCTTCCTCCTTTTCTTTTTCTTCTTCTTCTTTCTCCTCCTCCTTTTCTTTTTCTTCTTCTTCGTCTTCTTCTTCTGCTGCTGCTGCTATATTCCGCCTCGACATTAGATACATCGTGCTGATGTTATTTTTCCATCCTGTTCTTGGTATTTTTATATGCCTTGTATGATATGGTGTCACATATGCTGTCTTTGTATGTGTTTTAGAAGTTGTTCTGTGTCAACTTTTTCTTTTATTACCTCAATTCTAATTTCTGGTCACTCCTGTAGCCATTCTCAGACACCTCGTTTCCATATTTACTGATTTTCTTCTCGAGTTTGTTGACAGCGAGCATGCCTGGCACTGGTAACATAGGGTGGGAATAAAATTGCATTGTTTGCTGACTGGGATTGTCTTATGCTGTGTAAGGAGTGCTAGCTGTCTCAATATATGTTAGTAAATAGCCACCTTCGCAAAGTCCAGGGTGAATGTTGGACGGCATATACCAAATCTGACACCCCAGCCCTGTGACAACAGCTTTAGGAGGAGGGACGCACAGGGGTGGATACTAGCCGTATCCTGATACAGAGAAGAAATGCAACCTGAAAATTCAATGTCATGGCAGAGCAGACCAGGCCCTTGGCCGTGGAGGTAAGCTGACCTAAAAGGAAAGCTCTGACAGGCCGACAGATAGGGCACTGCTCTTCTGATCCAGCAGCTTTTGTGGCATACTTTGTTCTTCCTTCTTCTTCGTGTTCACCGGCTGTAAACTCCGAAAGAAAGTTCTGGATTGTTTTTTCCACCTTCTGACTTTTGTCTTGTTCCAGAACCTAAGATTTGTGACGCATCTGTCTGACATATTTGTTGGTTTCTGACCTCTCATGCTGATGCACTCCAGCATTGAAGGATGCCCCCAGTTAGTTGCTTTTTACGACTTGCTGTTGAAGAAGTAGACGGTCTTTCTTGCTCCCCCCCCCCCCCCCCCCCCACCTTCGGACTTTTGTCTTGTTCCAGAACCTAAGATTTGTGGTGCATCTGTCTGACATATTTGTTGGTTTCTGACCTCTCAAGCATATGCACTCCGACTTCGAAGGATGTCCCCAGTTAGTCGACTCCTACGACTTGTTGTTGCAGAAGCAGATGGTCTATTCATGTTTCCCCCAAACTGGAAATCTTTGTTCGGGAATGCTTAGTTCCATGTGTTTTGTTGTTGCCTTTCCTCTGGAGTTAACAAAGCAGTCACAGTGACGGATCATGTTGCCTGGGCAACAAATGGTCTCTACAAGACTGCCCAGGCTATGAGGAAGAGGAACTTTATCCCTGGCCAGAGTTGGTCCCCCCATAAGCTGTGATTCTCATGCCTCCCTCTGATGCAATAATACCAGAGTCTGGAAAGACGGAATGGTTCCGGTGCCCACAACAACCTTCATGAAGGCAAAGCTCACTGTCACCTCAGATAAAAGGATTTTTCGTCTAAGAACAGGACACTGCAGGCTCAACTGCCACATGCACAAAATCAAGTATGTAGTCCCCGCAGGGTGCCTGTCAGACAGGACAAAAAACACCTGAGCACATTCTGCAGTCCTGCCCACTCTACCTTCAGTTTCGAAAAGACACCTGGCCTCAAAAGCCAAGTGTGCATAGCAAGCTATGGGGAACCATGAAGGACCTGCAGTTGACATGCGAGTCCATAGATACAGCACACCAGACGGTCTGACCTGAGCTTATGAACCCGAACTCCAAGATGAAGAATAGCACAAACAGTATCAAACAATATTGAACTGAATAGAATGGAATGGAGAAGAAACTGCAAGTCCTTTATGAGTTCAAACAGCACAATAGGGTGATGATGATAATTACGACGCAGAGCCAGCACCGTAGAAGTCTTCTCACCTGTATGCAATCAAACGTCCCCTGCGACCTTGACTTGCGCACAAGATGACAGAGATTTCGGTACAGAGACATGCCCTGGATCAGTTGCGTACCTGGAGACAGATGAGTTGAGTCAAGAATTGCAATCACAGCACTCAGGGCATTCCAATGTGTGCTGCGTCCTTATCTTCAGCAGCCAGCGCAGAGTTCCAATAATGATGGTACCTGTCACAATCTGGTTATATGTCCGTCTTGCTTTTCCTCTGAGTATAGTGAGCCGGCCAGACCCTCTGGTTACACCCAGATGCCTCATTCTCTCCAGGCCATAATAATCTTCTTTCTCTACTGATTCTGTTGCTTGTTTCCAAAGGGTCTCGACCACATATGCCGTGTCATGTATCAATTCACCACCCAGCCGTGCAGATCCAGCCAGTCTGTCTGTTCATTACCCACCACGCCGGCATAGCCTGGAGAAAAGATCTTAAGTATGCTCCCTACCCGTGACCTTTCCAGTGATAAGTAGATGTGTCCAATTTGTCAAGACCCTGTTCAGATTAGTCGCATTTCATTCTAATGAAAAGATGCTTATGTAATAAGTTATAAAGTACTAGTTCCGGCGCCATTTAGGCATACCGGGCATATAGGGCTAGACCTATATTTTTTTAGACCAATTGGCATTTAGTGGTTGATGTGGTCAACATCAAACTGGCTGCCTTTACTTCCCATGACTTTACATAGTACTCATTTAAGGCTGGATCAACCTGGTAATCTGGTAATCCTAGTTTCAGCTACATAGCAAACGGGTCACCCCATAGTTGCTCCGCTCCTGTGTCAACGAAAAATACACGTAGCTCACAGTGTCACACCATGCACTCAACTCAGAAGCTGGGCGACGAAACTATATCCTTCCAGTCTACAAATGGAGCAAAAATGCAACGGCCACCGTCTGGCAGGGAAAAAAAAAAGGTGGCCGTGCCTAGCGTCCATTTTGACCTGAAGCATTATATGAGGGATAATAAACGGTCACCCCAGCAGTACCCTCATTATTAGCTGGGGAAGGGACTTAGGACATTACATCCACCAGCAGGCGTCGCCCCTACAACGACCTGCCTGCCTTCGTTAATGACTGTTCACCCAACAGCCATGCAGTTCTTTGGCACGAAGGAAACACCTTGAACTTGGGTTTCGGACTGCCGACTCCCTACAAGATGTTATTAATATTTTGGATCAACCTGAAAGCCAAAGCCAAATAAAATCCTGTTCCGTCAGGGCCTGAACCCATGACTGTCAGATCCACAGGCCAGCATCTAGCCACTACACCACGGCAGCTCCCTGATAAGATTTGGGGTGACCATATTATCTTAGAAGCTGCGGAGATGTGGTTTTATAGACGAATGATGAGAATACCCTGGACAGATAAAAAGAGTAATGAACATTTCTTGAAAGAAACTGACTCAAGAAGAGAACTGATTGCCCACATCAGGGGGAGACAATCTACCTTCTTTGGTCATGTGATCAGAAATGGAAAACTGGAGTACATCGTGAGAGTAAGAAAGCTGGATGAGAGGAGAGGCAGAGGGAGACTGAGAGAAAATATGCTGGATATTTTGACATCATGGCATGGAGGATCATCTCTATAAGAGTTGACTGAAAGTACACGAGACAGAAGATTTTGGACAGACATGACTACCAATGCCACACGGCATGGAATTTGAGAAGAAGAAGAATATATTGAGCGGAAAATGGGAAATCCCATTAATACTTTGAGCTGAAAACATGACATCCCAAACAAGAGAGTTTAACCAAACCTTTTTTGTTCCCGTAGTGGAACTGCCAAGGTGTTGGGGCTAGATGCTCGCCTGAAGATCCAAAGATCGTGGGTTTGAATCCAAACGACAATGGAGTTAATTTATTCAAAACTTACTTTGGCTCCCAGGTCGACCCAGCCCTCAGTAGATGCCAGGTGTAGTCTTGGAAAGTAAAGGCAGGCGGCATAATGCTCAGAGTGCCGATTCGTCTATAACATACAGAAAAAAAAGTAGAGAACCCTTTTCCACGCCTTCAGGCGTATAGGGCATATAGGGCTAGACTTATATTTTATAGACCAATCGGCACAAGATGGGTGATATGGTTAGCATCATGCCGGCCGCCTTTACTTCCCGGGACTGTACCCGGTACCAGCTCAAGGCTGTGTCGACCCGGGAGCCGGGGTCATTTTTGAAAAAAGTCTGGCTCCGCCAGGGAGCAAACCCACAACCTTCCGATCCACAGCAAGCATCTAGCCACTCCGCAACGGCGACTCCCATAACATATTGGTCTAGTACTATACACCTGATACGCCTAAAGGCGTGCCAAACAATCCTTTACTTTACTTACTGTTCACACTGGGTCCAATTAGAGGGCACAGCTGGATTATTTTTTTTTTAAATATACTCGCTGCTGATTCGACCCCAAAATCAAACAGACGTACCGAAAGTTTTTCTTGGTACAATCAGCAGCCTATTGGGCATATTCGTGTCTGGTGTTGCTGATTCTCCATTCGGGTCTTTTCTTCTGCCGCTTGCTGCCACTTCTGCACTGAGATGAGATTCGAGTGATGTCCCCTGTTGAGTAGCACATATGTTATCTGTTGTTGTCATTCTTATGTTCTTAGATGTGATTATACAAGGACAGAATCACTATCTGCTGGCTACAATAATAGAATACACTAATATATATCGTTAGGCCAGTAATAAATATAGAATACACAATGAGAGAAACTATCTTTAGCCTATCTACAAATATAGAGCATACAAGGAGAGAGAAGCTACCTTTAGTCTGGCAATGAACATAGAACATACAAGGAGAGAAAAACAATCTTTAGACTAGCTACAGATATAAACATACAAAGAGAGAGAAAATATATTTAGTCTGGCTTTAAATATAGAACTTACAAGGAGGGAGAAACTATCTTTAGCTATAAATATAGAACATTTAAGGAGAAAGAAAGTATATTTAGTCTGGCTATAAATATAGAACATACAAGGAAAGAGAAACTATATTTAGTCTAGCTATAAATATGGAACATGCCAGGAAAGAGAAACTAATTTTAGTCTACTTATAAATATAGAACATACAAGGAGAGAGAAACTTACTTTAGTCTAGCTATAAATATAGAACATACAAGAAGAGAGAAACTTTCTTTAGTCTAGCTATAAATATAGAACATACAAGGAGAGAGAAACTTTCTTTAGTCTAGCTATAAATATAGAACATACAAGGAGAGAGAAACTATCTTTAGTCTAGCTATAAATATAGAACATACAAGGAGAGAGACACTTTCTGCTGGCTACAAAAATAGAATACACTAATATATATTGTTAAGCTAGTAATAAATATACAATAAGAAAAACTATCTTTAGCCTATCTGGTAATATAGAACATACAAGGAGAGAGAAACTTTCTTTAGTCTAGCTATAAATATAGAACATACCAGGAGAGAGAAACTTTCTTTAGTCTAGCTATAAATATAGAACATACCAGGAGAGAGAAACTTTCTTTAGTCTAGCTATAAATATAGAACATACCAGGAGAGAGAAACTATCTTTAGTTTAGCTATAAATATAGAACATACAAGGAGAGAGAAACTATCTTTAGTCTGGCTATAAATATAAAATATACAAGGAGAAAGAAAATATATTTAGTCTGGCTATAAATATAAAACATACAAGTAGGGAGAAACTATCTTTAGTCTGGCTATAAATATAGAACATACAAGGAGAGGGAAAATATATTTAGTCTAGCTATAATATAGAACATGTAAGCAGGGAGAAACTTTCTTTAGTCTAGCTATAAATATAGAACATACAAGAAGAGAGAAACTCTTTAGTCTAGCTATAAATATAGAACATGCCAGGAGAGAGAAACTTTCTTTAGTTTAGCTATAAATATAGAACATACAAAAAGAGAGAAACTTTCTTTAGTCTAGCTATAAATATAGAACATGCCAGGAGAGAGAAACTATCTTTAGTTTAGCTATAAATATAGAACATACAAGGAGAGAGAAACTATCTTTAGTCTAGCTATAAATATAGAACATACAAGGAGAGAGAAACTATCTTTAGTCTGGCTATAAATATAAAATATACAAGTAGGGAGATACTATCTTTAGTCTGGCTATAAATATAAAACATACAAGGAGAGGGAAAATCTATTTAGTCTAGCTATAAATGTATAACATGTAAGCAGGTAGAAACTTTCTTTAGTCTAGCTATAATTATTGAACATACAAAACGAGATAAACTTTCTTTAGTCTAGCTATAAATATAGAACATACAAGGAGAGAGAAACTATTGTTAGTTTAGCTATAAATATAGAACATACAAGGAGAGAGAAACTTTCTTTAGTCTAGCTATAAATATAGAACATACAAGGAGAGAGACACTTTCTTTAGTCTGGCTTAGCTAGCTATAATATAGAACATACGAGGAGAGGAGAAACATCTAGCTATAAATATAGAACATACAAGGAGAGAGAAACTTTCTTTAGTCTAGCTATAAATATAGAACATACAAGGAGAGAGAAACTACTTTTTCTTTAGTTTAGCTGGCTATAAATATAGAACATACAAGGAGAGAGAAACTTAGTCTAGCTATAAAGTAGAAAACATACAAGGAGAGCTATAAGTCTAGCTATAAACATAGAACAGGAGAGAGAGAAACTTTCTTTAGTCTAGCTATAAATATAGAACATAGAACAAGGAGAGAGAGAAACTATCTTTAGTTTAGCTATAAATATAGAACATACAAGGAGAGAGAAACTTTCTTTAGTCTAGCTATAAATATAGAACATACAAGGAGAGAGAAACTTTCTTTAGTCTAGCTATAAATATAGAACATACAAGGAGAGAGAAACTTTCTTTAGTCTAGCTATAAATATAGAACATACAAGGAGAGAGAAACTTTCTTTAGTCTAGCTATAAATATAGAACATACAAAGGAGAGAGAAACTTTCTTTAGTTTAGCTATAAATATAGAACATACAAAGAGAGAAACTTTCTTTATAGCTATAAATATAGAACATACAAGGAGAGAGAAACTTTCTTTAGTCTAGCTATAAATATAGAACATACAAGGAGAGAGAAACTTTCTTTAGTCTAGCTATAAATATAGAACATACAAGGAGAGAGAAACTTTCTTTAGTCTAGCTATAAATATAGAACATACAAGGAGAGAGAAACTTTCTTTAGTCTAGCTATAAATATAGAACATACAAGGAGAGAGAAACTTTCTTTAGTCTAGCTATAAATATAGAACATACAAGGAGAGAGAAACTTTCTTTAGTCTAGCTATAAATATAGAACATACAAGGAGAGAGAAACTTTCTTTAGTCTAGCTATAAATATAGAACATACAAGGAGAGAGAAACTTTCTTTAGTCTAGCTATAAATATAGAACATACAAGGAGAGAGAAACTTTCTTTAGTCTAGCTATAAATATAGAACATACAAGGAGAGAGAAACTTTCTTTAGTCTAGCTATAAATATAGAACATACAAGGAGAGAGAAACTTTCTTTAGTCTAGCTATAAATATAGAACATACAAGGAGAGAGAAACTTTCTTTAGTCTAGCTATAAATATAGAACATACAAGGAGAGAGAAACTTTCTTTAGTCTAGCTATAAATATAGAACATACAAGGAGAGAGAAACTTTCTTTAGTCTAGCTATAAATATAGAACATACAAGGAGAGAGAAACTTTCTTTAGTCTAGATAAATTTCTTTCTTTAGTCTAGCTATAAATATAGAACATACAAGAAACTTTCTTTAGTCTAGCTATAAATATAGAGAGAGAGAAACTTTCTTTAGTCTAGCTATAAATATAGAACATACAAGGAGAGAGAGAAACTTTCTTTAGTCTAGCTATAAATATAGAACATACAAGGAGAGAGAAACTTTCTTTAGTCTAGCTATAAATATAGAACATACAAGGAGAGAGAACTTTCTTTAGTCTAGCTATAAATATAGAACATACAAGGAGAGAGAAACTTTCTTTAGTTAGCTATAAATATAGAACATACAAGGAGAGAGAAACTTAGCTTTAGTTCTAGCTATAAATATAGAACATACAAGGAGAGAGAAACTTTCTTTAGTCTAGCTATAAATATAGAACATACAAGAGAGAGAGACAGAGAGAGAAGAGTTTAGCTATAAATATAGAACATACAAGGAGAGAGAAAGATCTTTAGTTTAGCTATAAATATAGAACATACAAGGAGAGAGAAACTTTCTAGTTAGCTATAAAAGATTTAGTCTAGCTTTAAATATAGAACATACAAAGAGAGAGAGAGAGAGAGAGACTTTAGTCTAGAAGAGAGAGAGAAGAGAGAGAGATGAGAGATAAATAGAGAACATACAAGGAGAGAGAAACTTTCTTTAGTCTAGCTTTAAATATAGAACATACAAAGAGAGAGAAGAGAGAGAGAGAGAGAGAGAGAGAGAGAGAAGAGAGAGAGAGAGAGAGAGAGAGAGAGAGAGAGAGCTTCCTTTATCTATAAACTATAGAACATTACAAGAGAGAGAGAGAGAGAGAGAGAGAGAGAGAGAGAGAGAGAGAGAGAGAGAGAGAGAAGCTTCCTTTATCTATAACTATAGAGCATACATGGAGAGAGAAGCTACTTTCAGTCTAGCTAGAAATATAGAACATGTCAGCCTTGAATCACTCTAGCTCAGTTGTTGAACATGTTCACTCACCCTGACTGACTGACATGTCTCCAGGTCATGCACTGGCACTGAAAGCGTGTTTCTGCAGACATAAAGACTCTCTTACCTGCTGGCTGGAGTTTGCTCCACTCTGACCCCCAGACGAGACAGCAATGCCACCTTGAAGTGGAGTTTGGTGGAGTGATGTTTCCGTCTGACATTCTTGTTCTAGAAAGCACAGTGAATTCATCCGTTAATCTGCTGCCCCTTTTCGAATGCCTCATCTTTCGTTCCATGCTTTAAATGCAGAACTATCTAAACTTTTTATGTTGGTGACACAGTGTTTAGGCAAACATTATTTTGGAATGATGTAATTCAATCTACTAGGACACTAGACATTTGCAAAAGCATACATTCGCAAATTTTCATGTTTAACGCTTTACGTTCGCTCAACACACCTTCACATTGCAGCTGACACACTCAGATGTGGCGTAACACAGTTTGGAAAGCTCCCACCTTTCACTTGCACATGCTAAAACTGAAATCATGTTGAAATTTAAAATATGTAACTTGGTTTTAAATCTGTAATTTAGAGTTGCCTAATTTATTCAGGTTTCTAACATTGCTGGCTCCTTGCCCATTCATTCATTCATTCATTCATTCATTCACTTATTCATTTATTCTTTGTCCGAGTGTGGCAGTATATGTCACATCAGGTTAACAGTCTATTCCTCCCCTCCATTTTATCCTGTGAGATCTCTGTAATATCATGAATGGAATCCAGTCCAGCAGCTTTGGCCTTTCTCATCGACCTCCGTTTTCCGGTTTCCCTTGGGCGTCCTCGTTTACTCAGTCCTTCTATTTCCCATTTCACTGCCTATTTGGTGATTCTGTTTTCCTCTGCTCAGGATGCGTCTAATGTAGCATCATCTGTGTCTTATAAGTGTTGTTACCAATGGTTGCCCAGACATTTCTCTTCCTTTCTTGACCCCTATTGTATTTAACTCATTTTATGTTCCACACGTACCTCGTGTATTTGTTTTAGAATGCACTTACTTTTGTTCCGTATCTTTAGTAGTTCTCCAGCTTAATTGTTTTCAAATGCATATACTTTTTTTCCATATCTATAGTGGTTCCCCAGTTTAACTGTTTTCAAATGCATATACTTTTTTCCATATCTTTAGTGGTTCTCCAGCTTAATTGTTTTAAAATGCATATAATTTTTTCTATATCTTTAGTGGTTCTCCAGCTTAATTGTTTTCAAATGCATATACTTTTTCCCATATCTTTAGTGGTTCTCCAGCTTAATTGTTTTCAAATGCATATACTTTTTTCCATATCTTTAGTAGTTCTCTAGCTTAATTGTTTTCAAATGCATATACTTTTTTCCATATCTCTAGTAGTTCTTCAGCTTAATTGTTTTCAAATGCATATACTTTTTTCCATATCTTCAGTGGTTCTCCAGCTTAATTGTTTTCAAATGCATATACTTTTTTCCATACCTCTAGTAGTTCTCCAGCTTAATTGTTTTCAAATGCATATACTTTTTTCCATATCTTTAGTGGTTCTCCAGCTTAAACTGGCAAATGTTAAAAGTGAAGCATTTGTTTTAGAGTTTCTCTTGGATGACCTTGTTTTCTCACTCCCTCTATCATTTCAGTGCCTGTTTGTTGATTCATTTTTCGTCTCTCATCAGAATATGTCCAACAAAGCACCATCTTCTTTCTCTTAAAACTGTTGATACTAGTGATATTATTTTTATCTAATTAGACATTAAATGTTTCTTAAGTAGGTGTCTGTGTCTTTGGCTTTGTGAGGGACCATCATAATTATGAAGTTTTGGATTCAACATTATAATTGAAAATACATAATTTGGTTTTAAAACTATATATTTTTTAGCTCCATATTTGGATCCCACTTGCCCACGTGTATCATAAAATTCCTTTAGTTATTTTCTCCTTAAATCAAGAACCTATTAAAAAAAAAAAGTAAATAAATTTATACACACCCCACTCTACCTATGTACCAGTCCTGACCTATGCGTGTGAGTCATGGGCAATGACAACAGCTCACAGAAGCCAGTTGCAGGCCTCGGAAATGAGATATCTGATAAAGGTGGTCCAAGTGACAAGAAGGGACAAAGTCCGCAATCAGACAATAAGTCAAGATCTTGATACCCAGTTCTTACAAACCCGAGTGGATTAGTCACAGTTACGATGGCTGGACTTGTATGCAGAATGGGAGAAAATCGGCCACCATGGCAGGCATGGGAGGCTAAGAACCAGGGAACCAGACCTCCAGGACGACCCAGGGTGCGCTGGGAAGACAACATCCGACAGTCCCTAACTGACAGAGGACTGGAATGGAACAAAGCCAGAAAGAAAACTGCTGATAGAGACGTCTGGTGATCTCTCTGGCAAACCTCTACACCCCAAGGTAGAAGAGGAGCGACTAAGTAAGTAAATATATACACACCTGTACGCATCCCAAGATGCAGTTCTATGATACCAGCAGCGCCGTCTTTCGCTGTGTCCATGACACCCTGTTCATCTTTGGTCCGCCACGGACGGAAGTAATATATGTCCAGTAGTGTACATATGATAACCACAGCAACAGCCACACACAGAAATACTCTGTGGGAACAATTTATAACAGGAGCAGATAGGTAACAGCAATATCCACACACAGAACTTTAGTCTCTATGAACAATTTATGACACAAGCAAATTAGTAAACCTCAACATCAATATCGACACACACAATCACTATGTGGGAATAATTTATGAAACAAGCAAATGGGTAAACTTTGATCAGCAAATTTGACACACAGAATCACACTGCACTCTGTGGGAATAATTTGTGTCAAAAGTAAAGGGCAAAACTTTGACGCAATATCCAGACTCAGAATCACTTCGTGGGAATAATTTATGTCAAGAGACAGAAAAAAAAAACCCAAGCCTTACCGAGAATTCCAACCCGTGTTTCCCGCTTGAGAGCCCAGTGTTCTAACCGTTCAGCCAGCCGCTCCTCAGTAAATCGACGGGCTATGTAATTTCTTCTTCCTCTTAGCTTTCACAGGCTGTAAACTCAGGTAGAGAGTTCGAGTTGTTCGTCCAATTCTTGTGACGTTCTCAGCAGGCAACTAGCTGCTCTGCAGAGAAAGACTAAGCCCTTTACCTGCTAATGCTTAAACATGTGAATTATTCACGCCTTGCAACTGTTACATCTAACAAGATGCAGCAAAATATGTCAGGCGATCAACGACGCAATCTGCTGCTTGTATCCGCATTATTAAAATTAATTACTATTGATAACTCAGACACGGAAAGCTACATACACAATAGCGACTGCACCAGTATCCTCACTGAATTGGCTGTCTTCAAAACAAATTGTTTCTTTCACTGGCAGATTCAAGGCAGCAAGTGTTCCTGCAAACACAAACCATTTACAATCAAGACAGGGTTGGATGTGATTCTAACAGTGTAAATATAAAGTTGGTCGGCGTCTGTGGTTTAGCCGTTGCGAACGCGCTTTGTAATGCTGAGGTGCCGGGTTCGATCCCAGCTGCAGGCCTTGCGCTGGTTTCGGCAATGGTAACGAGAAGCCAACCGTCTAGAAACTACTGGATATAAGCTTGCCTAGAAAAACCACAACAGCGTCACACACACAAAATGCTGAGGTTGGTTCTGCAACATCCTGTAGAGGATAGACAACTAACTTAACTATGAAGTTGTGCAATAATCCAACTACTACCCCCACCTCCATCACCACCACTACAAATACAACCAACACTGCTGCTGCTGCTGGTGATGATGCTGCTGCTTCTACTACAACTACCACTCAGTGCTGGATTTAGGTATATGCCATATAAGCTACAGACTATGGCTTTACAATCTGCAAGGGCATCAACGTGTTTGAACAGACCATGTGCTAATTACTCTAGCTAACAAAGCTAACATTTCGCCGCCAGTGACCTGCAATCACAAATCGCTGAGTGAGGATGCGCAATAAAAATCTAGATATAACACAATTTAACTACTGAACGTACCCCAAACACGAAACCAGTGAGGCAATTCATCTCTCTTGCCTCAGTCTGCCGTACCTGTGTTTTACTGAGAACCGGTTAGTTCCGCAACAATAGGAGGACTACATGTCCCTAGGGCAAATGGTGAGACCACAGAACAAAGAGCCAAGACAGCTTTTCTGCTGTGCTGTGCCTTTCATCAACTTTTCGACCAACTGGCCATATCCAGCGAGTCCTGATCTGCAAACCTGCCAGTTTAAGCTTGCAAGTGTAGCTAAGCCAAAATTACATGCAGGCTAACTATTATCCATCACAGCCTATTATTTTTTTTCAGAAATGTCCGGCTCTGTTGAATATGAACTTGTGATCTTCGGTGAGCGTTTAGCTGCTACATCATGGAGGCCCCTTTACCGCCACAGTTTACTGATAAGTACACGTGGCTGGTTGAAGTAAGTAAGTAAAGTAAAGATCCCTTTTCACGCCTTAGCTGCATCGGGCATATGGGAAGAGCATCCCATATTTTTACAGGCCAATCGGCACTAGGTGGGTAATGTGGTCAGCATTACGCCGGCCGTCTAAACTTCCCCAGGACAGCCATTCTTGTACCCATTTTAGGCTGGGTCGACCAGCGACGCCCCATACCACGATTAAAATCCACCCAGCCAGCAGTGTGTTGTGATCACGGTACATTGGAATTTTGAGTCGGACTCGCAACGCTTGAGCCACGGACGCCGCTGCTGGTTAAAGTACTGTGCTGTAAAAGTATCAGTATTTTAATATATAAAATAACAAACATATCTTCAACGAATTCCCATGAATCAATTATTGGAAGGAATCAAGCAAACAAGGATACATTCCCACCTTTTGTCAGGAAAGTCTCGACGTCAGCAGAGCTGCAAGTATCGGGCACACAAAGGCCCCATTTGACGGCTGTAGGAAACGGTGGTCTGTCCAGCCAGAACTTGTTGAGGTGTTTCTGTAGAGTAAAACAATGCCGGCGAAATCGGACATGTGGTTTGATATCTGTATATGTTTCTTCTTCTTTTTCTTCTTCTTCTTTTTCTTCTTCTTTTTCTTCTTCTTCTTGTTCTTCTTCTTCTGGTTCTTGTCCTTCTTCTTCTGTTTCTTCTTCTCCTTCATCATCTTCTTTCTTGTTCTTGTTCTTCTTCAGTTTCTTCTTCTCCTTCATCATCTTCTTTCTTGTTCTTGTTCTTCTTCTGTTTCTTCTTCTTCTTCTTCTGCTTCATCTTCTTCTGTTTCTTCTTCATCTTCTTCTTCTGTTTCTTCTTCTTCTTCTTCTTCTTCTTCTTCTTCTTCTTCTTCTTCTTCTTCTTCTTCTTCTTCTTCTTCTGTATCCGTTTCTTCTCCTTCTCTCTTCCTGATCCTCCTCCTCCTCTGAGAAACAGACAAATAGAAAGAGGGACAGTTATTGAGACAGGAAGGCTGATTTGCTATGAATTGGTTAACTGATTTACTGACTGATTGATTTATAAATTAGTTGATTTATTGTCTGACAGATCAATTCACTGACTGACTAAATAATTTATTGATTCGTTGGTTGATTAATTTGTCGAATGACTAATTGATTAATTAGTTGTTTGGTTGACTGGTATAGTGATTGACTGATTGTTTGATTGACAAGTTGACTTGCTGACTACTTAGCTGACTGATCGACTTATTGATTGGCTGATTATTTGACTGACTGACTGGTTGACTAAGTGATTGATTTGTTTACTTTTTAACTGATTGGTTGGTTGATTGACAGAGTGACTGACTGACAGATTGACCGACTTCTTGGCTGGTTGACTGAGATTGACTGATAGACTGGTTGGTTGACTGGCTGGTTGACTGACTGAATAACTTGTTGATTTTTTTTAATTGCCTGGTTGATTGGTTGTTTAGATGACATAATAACTGACCGTCTGATTTACTGATTGATTGGTTTGTAGGCTGGTTAGTTTACTGATTTTATCGATTGATTGACTGACTGACTAATTTATAGATACATTAACTGACTGATTGATTGACTGCTGAAGGTGATAGCGATTCTGTTTGAAGTTCATTAGGGGCATGCTAGGCTGATGGGAAACGGATTAGACATGCGCTGGCGTACCTTGGTGAAACCTGGCATTGAGAGGTGGATAGAGTCAGACCTACATGGCAGTGTGGACACGGGTGGAGGACTAGATATCGATCACTTTATGGCTGCACATATCAAAAAGATTTGTTGTGGGCTAGGAGAGGGGATACTGGCAAACAGACAAAAGAAACGAGGAACATACTCACAGCAGACGTGATACTGACAATATGGTTGACAGAGACCACCAGACGACAGTATTTGCCGCCAAACTTGGCCCTGCTGCTGCTCCAGGGATCCTGCCTGAGCTGCCATGGTCCTGGTACCTCTGCCTGGACACCCAAACACTCCTCGTAGTTGCCCACCCACTGGAACACGCCTTCCAGGAGTCCAGCGGACGGTTTGCCAAAGGCATCCAGCACTGAGGACAGATAACAACATCACTACGTTTATAACATAGTACATGAAGACAGACAACAGCATCACTACGTTCATAGTATAGTACACGAAGACAGATAGCAACATCACTATGTTTATAATACAGTACATGAAGAAAGATAGCAACATCACTACGTTTATAATATAGTACATGAAGACAGATAGCAACATCACTACGTTCATAATACAGTACATGAAAAAAGATAGCAACATCACTACGTTCATAATATAGTACATGAAGAAAGATAGCAACATCACTACGTTCATAATATAGTACATGAAGAAAGATAGCAACATCACTACGTTCATAATATAGTACATGAAGAGAGATAGCAACATCACTACGTTCATAATATAGTACATGAAGAAAGATAGCAAGATCACTACGTTCATAATATAGTACATGAAGAGAGATAGCAACATCACTACGTTCATAATATAGTACATGAAGAAAGATAGCAACATCACTACGTTCATAATATAGCACATGAAGAGAGATAATAACATCACTACGTTCATAATGTAGTACACAAAGACAGATCTGTTGCCAAATCGCCTGCAGCTGAGAATGAACACTGCACCTCGCCATTACAAAGCACGTTTGCAATTCTGAAGCCACAGACCAAATGATGACAGAGCCTTGCTGCAGAAACAAGTGAACTAAGACGAATGACCAATTAGACCCTCCTAAAAAGGCACCTTAGTTTATTTGTGCCTGCAGCGAAGTGATGTCATCATTCGGAGATGACAGCTTCAATTCCCGGCATTGTAACTATCATCATCATCAGGTACCTCGCCAACTGGCGTGGGTGATCATACCTCTCCACAATCTGCGATCTCCTGCAGCATGTATTAATTCGTGTGCTGACACACCTCTATGCCTTGCAAAAAAACTGTCAAGAATCTTCTCTCATTGTCTTCCTCTATCATTCCTTCCACAGATCTTTCCAGTGGTCACAACATGTTCCCTTTTCCCTCTTCTCATAACATGGCTGAAAAATGTTGACTTTCTCCTTCTGATTTTTGTGATTAGTTGTCTTCGGGCTCCTGCCTCTTTCAAAACCTCTTGGTTGCTCTTTAGCAAGCAAGAATGCTTTTTCTAACTCTCAATGACAGAGACATATTGCATAAGATGTTCTTCAGTTTTTGCCTGTCCAATTCTGTTTCTTATAACTATAGCTTTCCATATTTATGTTGTCCGGTGTGTCCTTCTATCTTTCTACTTCTGTCTATGAGTCAGTACATGCTCTATTTGTTTATTGTATATAAAGTTTATACGGCCTCAAAGGGTCCCCCTCTGTTTATTTCTAAGTATGAGGCTTCATAAGTAGCTCTTCAAAAACTGTGTGGGTCATGGGATCCCATTTTGGGAAAAACACGATTTGACCCCCTGCCTCTCAAATAAGCGTGTGTTAAGAGTCGACTAACTGGGGGCTGAGTGCATCTGCCTGAGAGTCAAGGAACTAACAATCTGCCTTCAAATAAATCAGATCTGTAAAACTGATGCGCACGCAACACTCAGGTTCTGGAGCAAGACTAACGTCCAGAAGTGAACAAGTCCAGTGAAAAGAAGAAGAACAGATCACTAACTTCGCCACGCCCACTCTTGTGTCATGAGGTTTCCGGCGCCATCAGCCACGCCCACCAGGCCCTCGAGGAAATCCAGCAGATTCTGGTAACACCCTAAGCTAAGGTCCTTGGGTCGAGGGAAGGTTACATCAAAGGGCTGTCTCATCAACACTGTCTTCAGCACCTTGTCCCACTTCAGTTGCAGCAAGGACTCCACTAGATTCTGACAAGACATTTAGACAAAAATATTAGCGAAGGACTCCCTTTTTCACACCTTTAGACGTATTTGTGTGTGTGGGTGGGTGGGTGTGTGTATGTGAGTGTGGGTGTGTGTGGGGGGTGTATGTGTGGGTGGGTAGGTAGGTGGGTGGGTGTGTGTCTGTCTGTCTGTAAGACCAATAGGCACTTGTTGGTCTTCTGCGACTCGCTGGTAAACGACTTTGTCGTCGGTCAGGACAGTATTTGGGTCTAACTCCTTTGATCCCAACAACATTACAGGGGTCCTTCAGGTCTCTTGGTGACTTGCAATGCTAGCTCATTTTATATGGCACACATAGTACATCTAGTCACAATTATAACCAAAAGCCTCCCCCTTACTAGGATGCTGGTTGAGTGTGCTGATTTGTTGTTTTTTTCCCAGTAAAGCAACTACCTACCAACCAAGGTCTTTTTAAAAAGAAATTCTGTTTCGGCTCAGGCTCAAACCCACGAACTTTGGATCCACAGAGGAGCGTCTAAAGCTATTGTATACAAGAAATAAAATATCTACGCACATTTCAATGGGTAAGTTAGGACCAGGGGGGGGGGGTGTTTGAGACACTACCCCGCTAACAAGTAACTTGTAAAAGATTACTAATTAAGGGTGTATCCTTCAAAGCCTGAGAGGTCAGAACCAATGGTCTGCATTCAAAAGGTTAGATACGTAAAATGGATGTGCATGCAAAACTCAAGTTTTGGAACAGGATCAAAGTCCAGAAGTGGAGGGGCTACCAGAAATTTTGCACCAGATTTTGTCTGCAGCAGCAGTAGAAGAAAAAGAAGAAGAAGAAAAATGTTTCATCTTTTTCTTCATAATCTTCTCATCTGCATCCTATTTATCCTCATCTTGTTCCTCATCACCTTCTTGTTCTTCTTCCTCCGCTTACATCTTCTTCCAAGTGCCATTTTCGTCAATTTCCTAGTTGAAAATCTTGCAACCCATATTCTTTTCACTTTTCTTCTCAGTATCACTCCCCCCCCCCCCCCCCACCCTCTCTTCCCCATCCAGCTCTTCCCCATCCAGCTTCCATTCGTGTTCGTTGGCTCTTTAACACTTGTACTAAACGGACAGAGATATTTTGAAGCCATGGAAACATATATAATAAAGAGATAGACATGCTCTCATAGAAAGAAGAAGAAAGATAGAAGGACACACTAGACAACCTAAAAATCTACAGTTATGGTTACCGTACCGGGAATCAAACCTATCACCTCCAAACGACGACAACATCTCACTGCAGGAACAAGTGTATTGAGGTACATGACTTACAAAGCACCTCTAAAATATGTGTCTTCATCAGCCATGTCTATCGTACAGCTTGATCCCACAACATGGAGTATGGATAGAATACCTCTCAAACCATTGGAATGACACTATAATTACGATCTTTCTATCTTTCTATAAGTGCATATCAATACATGTTTGATTAATTCTTGGTGGTTTTGTTTTCTTTCCTCTCATTCAGTCTATGAAGAATTAAATCACAGCTTTTGAACTGAAATGCTACAGAAAAATTCTTAGAATATCGTGGACCAAGAAGCAGAAAAACGTCAACACACTGCATAACCAGAACGAATAGGATAACTGGCTCGTAAACAGCATCCTCTGATGAAAGCCAAAGTATTTTCGACATGATGGTCTGGAGAGAACGGTGATGAAGGGTGCATCAACATGTAGCAGGTCCTTTGCAGAACATCGCTCTCATCACAGTCTGCCTGTAAGAAACTCGGTCTCTTGCCAGTTCTCCCGCCTCATGAACTTTCACACTCAAGGATTCACTTATATCCTGTGCCCATCTTCATGTCGGTCGGCTCCTGCCCCTCCTTCCTGGTACCATTCCTTCTGCTATAATAAAGGATGCTGTTTCCGGAAGAGGCAGCAGAGACCGACCTCCGCGAAGGTTGAGTGATCACACTGAAGATGTTTTGGCTATGAAAGCACACAGGGCTGGAGAACTGGTTAAAGAAAGAGAAACTTCAGGTGTGCCGTGAAGAAAGTGAGGTTCTGTAAGGGGCATGCATATTGACTGATTGATTGACGGTTAAAGTTAAAGTACCAACCACACTGATTTCCACTTCAGCTCAGACTTAATACTTACTGATTTGTTGATGGGGACTTTGGACACCAGATCCTCGATGACATTCTCGAGCTGAGGGAGGTTGGAGGATTCCTGAAAAAGACAACAACCCGTGCCAGCCTCCCTCAGTTCCACAAATTGATTAATGTCGGTGAATATGTTTCTTACAACTTTAAGTTCAAATTTTTGTTACTTAAAACTATTTTATTCTATGAATTTGCTTGAAAAAAATTGTTACATGTTTCATCTTCTTCTTCAGCGATCTCTGGTCATGTGCATAATCCACTGTGGGTCATAAGCTGGGAAGTCTTTTCGAGGTCTCTTAGTTTTCTCCAAAGCCTAGTTGTCAGTTCTGCTGGGTATTGCCATATGTTGCTCCGCAGCTCCGCCAAGAGAAGACAGTCTTGCGGGACATGTTCTGGAGTCTGTTCAGTAGGTAGACACTGGCAGAGAGCTGTTTGGCTCATACCAAATTTATATGAGTGTTTACTGAGTCTGTAGTGCCCAGTACGTAAGCGAAAAACTGTGACTTGGTCTGTTTGTTCTGTTCAGGTGTTTCAGAAAATCTTTTTCGTAGTTATAACCAGTGTTGGTTTTCCAATCTGTTTCTGATTTTATGTTAATGAGAGTTTTGACTTCAGGAAAAGATAGTGGCTGGTAGGTCTGTGGTTTGTTACTGCCTTCCTTGGCTAAAGCATCAGCGTTTCATTGCCTTTGATGCCACAGTGAGATGGAATCCATTGCAAGTGAGTTTCTGCCTTTTTTGACAAGTGAAATGTTTAATCTTGAGAATTTATTTGAGACATTAAAAGGCAAAAAGAGTTGAACTAACAAAATGTAAGAAAGTTAATATAGCAACTATATAGAAGAATGCAAGAAAAGGATACTGGCAGTGACCAAGGACCTTACAGTGAGCTGACTGGTTCTCAAATAGTTAAATTCAAATGACATGCAAATCTGACATGTAAACCTGAAATGCACACCTGTGTCAAACCTGTTTCAAACAGTCTTTGAAGCGAGTCTGTCAGTAGGCCTAAATATCTATTGGATGGGGCATGGCCACAGAAACAAAGAAAGGTTGGGGGGGGGGGGAAGGGGGGAGGTGGGTGGCTATTGGAGGTATTTAAAAAGGGGGTGGAGGAGTCAGCTTTTTAAAAACTGTATCTGTCCGGGGCTTAAGAGCCTAAACCTTGTTTATGTGCGCTTCGATAATATGCTGAATGGAAAAAAAACTTTTCGAAGATCAGAAAAAGATGTCAATGGAGAATAGACAATAGAAGGAACATAGACTTAAAATTTAGGAGAATCGAGAGGCGAGGAAAAGACGCTGGCTTTGGATAGGGAAACAGTTCAGGAAAACTGATTACTTATAACTAGAACTTACTTGCACTGTAATTTAGCTAGTAAGGGGGAAATGGGTACTTAATTTATAACTTACCCCTGACGTCACGACAACGTCACGGGAGACATTCCCAATAAATTCTAGGGTGTTCAGGTTGTAGTTTCACGAGATTTCTGAACAGCCAAGTTTAGGGTTAGGGTTAGGATTAGAAGACACTAGATGAACACTCACAAAAAGCACAACACACTTGCACCCCTTGAAATAATGGACTGTCAGGTCAGCTGTGGATTTCCCACGGGGATTTCGTGTTTGGGGTACGTTATAAATTAAGAACCGGGAAATGGGCTGACCACACACACACAACGGAGAAGAGAATTACAGAATGAGGTTGCAAACATGGAGAGGACATTGGGCGAGCTACATGCGATAGCAAAGGACGGGATTTCCTGGCGAGAGTTCGTTGAGAGTCTATGCTCTTCTGTGGAACAACAACAAAATAGAAAAGAACGCCAGCTTCAAGACTTCTTCTTCATCCTTTTCTTCTTCATCATCCTTCATCTTCTCCTCCTCCTCCATCACCATCTCCTTCTTCTTCTCCTCCTTCTTTCAATCGAGGATGTAAATGCACTGTATTATCTGTTTCATGGATGCGAATTTCGGCGACATACCTGCCTTATGCAGGCGTTAGGTACCCAGGTTAGCCTTCCCAGTTGGTTTTGTTGGAGACTTCAATCTCATTATTGTTTGGTCATCTTTGACTCACAGTTGACGGTGACGGGTAGCGCCCCCAATTAGGAGGTTGATGCATAGCATCATAGCAGTCACATAATGCTGAATTGAAGGCAGGGGCAGAATATCAACAGTCCACGCAATTCAAGGAGGCTACAATAAATGCACAGCAAATACATTGTGCTTCCATACTGGAAATAATCTAGTGAACGGTGATTTTAAAGCTTAACGAAATGGGGAAGCATAAAAACGTGCACAAAACAACACAAATGGACGTTTCGGCTGGAGCTTTTCTCCACATGATCTAACTATACAACAATAACAAAGGGGAGAGTACTCCAAACCCACAAAAGGGTGGGGGGTCACGTGAGAAACTATTTAAAAAAGATGATGTGGAATGAATAAAATAAAATAAAGAAAGGCTCGAAAAAAAGGTCATAAATGTAATAGTGATAATATATAACAATGATAGGAATAAAAGAATAGTAGAAATGCAAATTCTAAAATAATTATATTAAATTATATAAAATAACTAACATAAAACAATGAAATTAAAAATAATGCGACTATGTTTAGATGAAGGTATAGTGGACATTGATGCCTGCTGGATCTCCGGTACTGGGCTCACCCAAGGATCTTCACGTCCTGCTCATTACCTGTTTATCCTCACTGCCCTAAACTGAGCCTCTCACTTATCACTGTCTGTGTCTTTCGAAGCCAACAAAAGGCAGCTTGCAGACCTCGGATTTCAATCATTTA